GTCTTAGATCAAAATTATTTCTTCAATTGTTAGGTCTCTAACTGCATTTTTATACTCATTTAAAACAAACCTAGCTGTTTATAAAACTGAAGTTAACATAAAACTTACAGATAATCCTGCTGCTAAATTTGTATCACTTAGGCAACAGAAATAAACCTGTTAAGCGAAAACCAGGAACAAACATATCATGATATCTCATGCTTCACCAATACAGATGACCAGTATAGATGACCAATACTGATGTGAATTGTTGATATTTCACAATCAGATATGAGCTACAAATCTGGAGCCAAAGATACTTTAATTTTTGTTCATGCCTCTACAGATGACAAAGGGCTCGAGAGTTCTGTCCGCCATGAAAATGAGACAGGGTCTGTCAGGTCATTATATTGCTTCGATATGTTTGCAATGATTGGGACATAGTCCTATAACTATAGACAGGTAGGAAAAAACTATTTCCCCTGGAGATAGCATTTATACAACAACCTCAGACAACAGAATTGATTACTGTACTACAAATCTACATGGGGTCAGATATGCAGAGTCAAAATTGCTTGTGATATCTACAGCAACAGGAAGTGGCCATCATCGTCTACTAAACAGTAACCATCAGACACAGAATGGAATAACTCTGACAGATACATTGATATACAGGTTAACTGGACATATCAAACATCCTTCGGTACACATGCACTAAGGTTTCTTCACTGTCTATCTTGAGTTTAGAATCCTATTGTTAAATTGGGCAGTTAATTTCAAAGCAGTGCTGGAGTCTTTTTTACAGTAAATAGGATGCTTGGTGAAAAATGTGTACACAAGTAGATTTGCAAGATGTCTACTCAAAGCTGAAGTGGAAGCAAGCATTAATATGATAATGAGAATTTCCCTAAGTGTTGTGCCTCCAAATCAATGCAGTCAAGCTTTCTAACATACAGACCACCCTAACCTCATACAGGCCAGAATTTGGCCACTGGTCACTTAAGATTTCTGGTCAGAATTTGGACGGGCCTGCAGTTGAGGGTCTATGTAGACTTTGTTACTTTGTGTTGCTACCCAAGTGTGGAAAGCTGTGGGTAAGCGTTCTGTGTCGAAGCGATTGCCATCACTGAAATATTACAGTAGGATATACAGCTACTCACACCGATTCATATGGTTGACAAATGCCCACCATCTTGTGTTAGTAAATATTACAGGTATTACCAGGGGTTCAAATGTATCATTCTTCTATAATAATTTAAGCTGTAGGTGATTGTATCATGTAAACTGAAAACTTTTTTATTAAATTTTGATGAATTTTTGACTGATCTGATGCAGGCAAAAAATATTTTGAGTTCTGAAGTCATATGTTCAGAATGATTTGATTTTAAAACCCCTGCAGCCTATGGTAGTTAGATAAGTGATACACATGCAAATGTATTCCCTCATATAACTTGTGCTACCAGACACTGTTACCTTACACTTGATACAAAGACAGATTAACACAACACCAATAATTAGTCTGGGTCATCAATGTCGGTTATAGGGTCTGGTCGTGCAGTGGGAGGTGGTCGGGACGTCTTTGTGTGCTGGGTGGACACCCAGGTGTGATGTGCAGTGGGCACATATCGATTGGGACTGTAAAAATAGCCAAGGAATACAAAAATAACATCAGAATACCTCAACATGCTGTCTTCAGGTGGCAACATACATGTAACATATTAAATGATTTCCCTAACTACACAACCAAGGATAATTCAATGTATCCTGTCTCTATTATAGCCATGAATTGCAGAAGAAGAAGAAGAAGAAGAAGAAGGAGGAGGAGGAGGAGGAGGAGGAGGAGGAGCAGGAGAAGAAGAAGAAGAAGAAAGAAGAAGAATAACAACAACAACAACAACAACAACAACAACAACAACAACAACAACAACAACGACAACAATAACAACAACAACTGTTTCTTCAGTAAACAATTAAGAACATACAAGCTTTACTAATTTTTCATAAATCCAGATGAAATCCAGAGGCACAACACCAAGGTCCTATTCCACATATAATTCATAAGATCTAACACCAAAGCCAAATTGATGTGAAACCTAAGACAAATGAATATAACAACTAGAAAAATGTTCTTGTGAACAAAATCATATGTTTCCACATATTAACTGAGAACTGATTATTTATTATGAAATATTTACCAGCTTCAATACTTAAAATGACCTTTGACCTAGTGACATTGACTTAGTCATGAGTATCTCTATTGATAAATTTTGTTTCATAATGGTATGACGAAATGTTTACCAGTAAAAGTTTTTAAATTTGACCTTGACCTCTGACCTGGTGACACTGACCTGTGGTAAGATGACTTGCCATTTGATTTCAGTCAACTTTGCTTCTATACATCATAATAGCATTGTGAAATAAGCAGAAACATTTGGTAAAATTCTATCTTAAGTCACATATCTTTTCAAATTCGAAGTTACAACAACTCCATTTACATTTGATAATCAACACTTGTTGGTGATGAAATTTAAGTTTCAACAATAGGAAAACAACTTAATGAATGAAAATTTTGTAATTATTTGACCTTAACCTTGACTTTAACCTTGAGACCAAGGTCAGAAAGACCTAATTTCAGTGCACTGTACACCATCTGTGGGTGATGCAATTATCATTGTAGTTTTATTAAGTCATTTTCTGAACAAGAATATGCTGAAAATTCTGTACTTATTTGACCTTTGACCTAGACATGAAAGGCACTGTGACTAAATTTTGGTGCGCTGCACAACTTGTAGGTGATACATGAATGTTTCAAGTTTCAGCAAGATACCTTAAGCATTTTAAAAGAAAACACTCTGGATAAGCTTTTTATAGCATCAGTCCCTTTTTGGGGTAGCTAGCATTATATAGTCATTATCATGCATTCAATTAAATGTACTAAATACATACAGAATTAATCACTCGATATATAAAGGATTATCAAAATAGGATCAATAATATGAATGCATGCATATATGACGAATACAGACTCTCATATACTTTTAAATAACAGCTGACTTTTAACCCACAAGTTCATGGGTAAATTACAGCTTAAATCTCTATATATAGACCAAATTTCACATTCAATTGGCCTTCAGGATTCCAAGGTCAGCACAAGATAAATGCACTCTAGCTTTTTTGTTCTAATAGAGGGTGGATGACAGAAAGCACCTATAACAGCACTGGATTTAGCACAATAGGTAAATACCTATGATATAACAGCACTGGATTTAGCACAATATGGAAATACCTATGATGGATAGCCCAACCAAGGCTGTCCATTCCTTAGCATGGGAACGGCCGTATACAAACTGAAAAAACAATTTTAAGTTAAAAAGTTCACAAAAAGGAACAGATATATAATCTTGGGTTTATAATATCTGTGAAGAGGATATAAAACTGACATCCCTCTGGTAACCTTGAGAGAAATAACAGTGTAGAAAGTGTTCAAAGCAAAAAAATTATTCTTAAATCATGATTGCTGTACTTGTATATTGTGATATACCCCGTATACACTTCTGAATCCAGCCATGGTACACAAGTCATCACAGTAATGGACTGTTTTTGTTATGCATTTTTACTCATTAATATTCAAGGTTTGTGTATAAATTAATGAGGTAACATAGATAGCAAGTTTACCTTTCATATAGGTAATGGGGCTCATTTTCCTAATCGTATCTATGTTACGCGGTCAGCTTCCCAACAATTTTTTTTAACAGGTACTCTGGTTTCCTTTAACAAGTTATAAAGGAGGAAAATGGGGATACTATACAGTATTGCCGTAATGCAATGTCTCGATCAACATATCATTTCATACATCTTCACTGGAACTGAAAACATCCATTACCCATATCTTTATGAAAAACTCTTTTAAATGGTCTTTTCAAAACTTTATACAGCTGTAAATAGAATTTTTAGGCCCTGCATACTAAACTCTCCAATGTAAATGGTAGCACAATGTTAACTGGTCCACATTTGCAAAACAGAACTAAGAAGTAGATAGTGTCTACTTTTAGGTGAGTATAGTCATCTCTAAGGGGTTTGTCACACTAGAAACTTTGTCCTGTCCACCAACCTTCCATGGCACCAGTGGTAGCCAGTTTGTTCTGACCACTATTAATAGCAACTAAACTGGGAGTTGAGAGTGCGAGGAGCAGAGATGACCATGAGTGGACCGGGGATATCATTCCTACTCCAGAACACACTGAACGGAGAAACAAACAAGGAGTCAGGGTTAGCATTCAGCACTCCTTGTTAAACAACACTATTTCACTTCTAAAACTTTGAATTCATCATTATAACATTTCACATATAATTACATAAGATTAGTACTGTACATGAAAATATCTACATCAGTCTCCAATTTCAAGTACATAGTATCCCTCATATCTGAAGTCAACATTGTGTTAACCATAATGTTTTTATAATGAACCTATTTTACAGTAAACTTTTAAATTTTGACAAATCAAGAAGACCTTGAAGCCTTTGTAAATAGTTGACGGCTAAATACGTTGTAAAAATCAATTTGAAATGGCAAAACAATGTTTTAACTATGTACTATATATATTGCCAGCAACATTTTAACAATTCCTCAAACTGGGAGAGGTGATTATCACATGGTGCATTGTACATAAATTCATGGCCATTTACAACTCACCAGTCCTCTTCATACAATAAGCATTGAATATTCTACTTTACTAACCATGTACAGAATTGGATTACCAAAGGACACATCATAAACATGTGTCAGGCCAACTCCGAAATTTTCCCCTAACTAGGTCACACAAATTCATTAAGACATATGTCAAATATGAGTTCAATTCATTTAAAATTTTTTAGAAAATTATTTTTGTGTCAGGCTGGAATATGAAAATATGTCTATTTCATGAGTACAGCTGTACACTTTTCTTCCTATTGGCTGTAGTTATATAACCAGACTGGAGAGAAAACATGATAAACAGGATAAGATACTACAAAGTACTTACTATTGGTCGTACGGCTGCATAGGTTCTACGTCCACATAGGGGCGCTGCATCATCCATGGCATGTCTGCATTGTTCTGGAAACGGAGACAATTCAGAACAAAATATTACAACCGGAAATATCAATATCACAATACATCATTGTTAACTCACAAAGAATAATACAGTTTCTTAATGATCGACGGAACGTGTTGTTTTGGTTGTAAAAACACCTATGAAATACTATCTTAAACTCATTAATAATCACTGATTGTTATTACCAGCTGAAAAATCCTTCAATTTCATGTAAAATATTTAAATAGTGAAGTATATATTTTTGTCATATATGAAACCAAGTTGTTATTTTTTGGTCAGTAATATTTTTAATCTTTCATTTATTAGAATAATTAGTTGTTTAAATGAATAGCTGATGGTCTTTGCTGTTTAACTGAAACATGTTAGAAAATTGTCAAAACAGACAAATATATTAAGTTTTTTCATCAGCTATACCTGGGTTCTGACCTTATGGTCAGCCATATAGCAAGCACTCGATGACCTGACCCTTGTTTTAGTAGATGTTATACTTAACAAACCATATGAATGATTAATATGAAAGTCCATTGTTTTACTAATTAATTGTCATACTAGCCTCAAAATTAATATTTATTCATAAAACTTAACACTGAAACATTTACGATAAGCCAGTTAATAGCAGCATAAGAAGACACAATAATATAGGAGATATGACTTGCATAGATTACGAAGCAGCAATATCTGTTACATATGACACAAATCAACAACCAACACACAGAGGTTTACAGTCTGTCAGTAACCTGTCCCCATATTAAGGGGTATATACCTCCAGTTCTGCCAAACTATACCGTACACTGTCCCCCATAAACATTCCTGGTACTGTCCTTTTGGTGGCAGGGGACATGGGGGTCACACCTGGCTGGTGCCAGCCCCCCTGGGGGAATAATGTCATCACATCAGACACATTTCAATTCAGCCAAAGTAACCAAGAATGAACCAAATACAACATACTCACAAAAGTTAAGAATGGGTGATCTGTAATTAAGAGATTTTCGTCCAGAGATTTTATATTCGTACAGAAGTCAGTACTAGTATCTAGACTTATATATCATTGATAAACCACCACAGTTCAGTTTGTTAAACATATTTATGATCTACTTACAACAAAATCTGAGATTTTTTATATCAAGATTGATGAGGAGGGAGGTGGGTTTTCTGTTTTAACAAGTTCTGTTGTAGGAGGGATGTGGACTGTCTGTTTTAACAAGTTCTGTTGTTTACATACATACATACATACCGGTGCTGGAGGAGGGAGGTGGGTTGTCTGTTTTAACAAGTTCTGTTGTTTACATACATACATACCGGTGCTTGAGGAGGAAGCCAGTTGTCTGTTTTTAACAAGTTCTGTTGTTTACATACATACATACCGGTGCTGGAGGAGGAAGGCGGGTTGTCTGTTTTTAACAAGTTCTGTTGTTTACATACATACATACCGGTGCTGGAGGAGGGAGGTGGGCTGTCTGTTTTAACAAGTTCTGTTGTTTACATACATACATACCGGTGCTGGAGGAGGGAGGCGGGTTGTCTGTTTTAACAAGTTCTGTTGTTTACATACATACATACATACCGATGCTGGAGGAGGGAGGTGGGCTGTCTGTTTTAACAAGTTCTGTTGTTTACATACATACATACCGGTGCTGGAGGAGGGAGGCGGGTTGTCTGTTTTAACAAGTTCTGTTGTTTACATACATACATACATACCGATGCTGGAGGAGGGAGGTGGGCTGTCTGTTTTAACAAGTTCTGTTGTTTACATACATACATACCGGTGCTGGAGGAGGGAGGCGTGCTGTCTGTTTTAACAGGTTCTGTTGTTTAAGCAGCTCTATCTCATTCTGAAGCTGTAACATCTTCCTCAGCTGTTCCTCCTGAAGGCGTCGTAGCTGTGCCTCAAGTTCATCTGTCAGGATACAAGGTCAAAGTCAAGGTCAAACTTTTGGGGCCTTACCTCAAGGTCAAAAATAATAGGTTGCAATACTGACAATATATTTATATTTGAATAAATTAATATACTTAAATTAAATAATATTTTAAAACCTTATAGTAACTCCATTAATTATCTGTCTGCTTCACAAATCAATTTGAAGAAATGTGTCTCTCCTAAGTATATATATACGTATTTGCTAAGATCTATAGTGTATCATTAAAATCCTTACAGAAAATCAAGAAAAAATACTTTGTGTAAACAAAATAGCATGAAAAAAGGATATTTATTGTACAAATTTTTGAAAAAAAATATATCACCAATACAAAATTCTGATAAATTAGACAAAGGAAACCAATATAACAACAATCTGCATGTTAGTTACCATAGTTACTAACAACTACAATATCTTCAAGGGGAGGTAATCAATTTTTTTCAGCTACAACGGACGGTAATTCCATAACAAGGGACATACTCATTACTGAAAAAAAAAAACAGAATTTTTTCCTCAATAGAAGGGTGTTCAGGTCTAGAAAACCTTCCATAGAGAAGACAGATATCTGAGAGTAGCCATTATTGAGAAGGTGTTTTGCCTCCTGTGTATAGTGGGTGACATGACACCACTGTTACTGTAATTTACTTTGAACTGGTAAGTAGTGAAAGACTCATATTGTAGATAAGTTATTACAGATATATAACATCAATACTGGTATTCAATTGACCATTGAGATAGGATTGATTGAAAGCAGTTGATGATTATTTCCTTGATAAAATACACCTTTTAAAAGCTGTTGAGTCGTGTGATTTATGAATCTGATTACATTTCTTTTCACACTTCAAAACCTCCTATTTATAATTAAATCGAGACTGATCTGCTATTTACTTTGATTATGCCTGACTATAAATACCATTTCTATCAACAAATATCTTTATCCCACTGGGACATTTTTCTAGATCACATTTCACATAGATATTATCATTTCATTGCAAATTTTTTAGATTGAATATGATTTCATATACCTGGTCTCCTTTATTCATCTCATTTCATCCACAAAATACAAGAAAATTCACAACCAGTGGAATGAAATTATCGAACTATTAAATACAATCAGAAAAACTTTCATTTTTGTTCTTAAAAAAAAAAAATTTATTGATAAATAATTTGTGTTACCATTAAAGTAAAACCTTTATATTACGGAATGTTTACATAGTATGGTATAAAACAGTCTCTTTCATGAGAATTAAGCACCATAACCTTGCTGTGATAAAGAAATCCTTTACCAGCCATGTTTTATTATATGTTCAGATAACACATCAAGATGGTTTGAGGAAATATTGAAACAAATAACACTTTTTTATAACATCTTCAATGAGAACATGATGATCATAAAGGAAGATTAATTTGGCAAATCTATGTCCAGCTACAGAATCAGGCAAATTATAGTGCTGGTAGCATTGTTTTAGAGTTTTATTTTGGCATGTAAAATTATCCCAGTCAGTAATGAAAATTCAAAAAATGTCACATCTCATGACTAACCCTGCTGGGAAATGTTTACAGCAGGTTTAAAATGAAAAAATTATCCCAGTTGGTAGTGAAAAGGTAAAGAACATCACATTTTACATGAAATATTTTTCACATTGGTCCTACATAGATAAAAAGATATCTACTATCAATCATTAATAATTGTAATTAACACAAAAGACAACTTCAAAATAATTCCTAAACTGTTAATATAGCCAGGAACCACTTAAAATGGTGAAATAATGTGTCTCTAAAATAGAAGTGATTCAGTCACATGATGATGATGAAGAAAGTGAATCAGCACAGATAATACATATATCGATTCTTATATTTTAGAAATTTTTCTCATTTGTGGGAGAGCTATACAAATCACTTTCCTGTAATGTCCATGATTACTTTAGCTAAATCTAAACCATTCTTCAGGAATTTTCAAATGACATGTGTTCTGTTGTTAGCTTTTTGTTCAACATGAATGTTCAGGATTTTAATTTGGGAAAGCAAAGATGGTTGACAAAAGGTTATTTAAATACATCGCCTCTGTCGAAAATGAATGGATTCCATACAAATCAGGAAAGCCTGATTATAACCAACATTCAACTCTGATAATGGGCATCAATTCTACGTCCCAGTACTGACCATAATAAAAATCTAACATGGCCATGTCAATGCCTCTTTCACCGAAAGTAGATTAAAGGTTAACTTACAACAAAAAAGTGGTTTTAATTAGCAGGTAGATCAGAATACTAATTACAAAGTGGTTCTCAGTTCAATATTCAGGTTGAGTACAGGAATCTCCATGATAATTATTTTAATATTAAACCTACCAGCATTCTGATCCAACAGAACAAGATCAGGTGTATAGCCTACAGATGTCAATACAGTGTTGTATGTGTGGTATTGGTGTCATATTGTTATTGTCTGTACATCACCAACTAAAATACTGGCTTGTCAGAAACGGCCACGCAATGTGTTTAACTGTTAACTATGTGCCGAATATATACTAAGAGGAAAAGAAACACAACTTCAACTTTATCCTTTACCATTTAAAAAATAAAATTCATGAGCAATAAATGTGCATGCTTTAATAGGGACAATGTTCTGGGTTGCTAGAAAATCCCTACTGCTTCTTGCAACTTCTGGCCTAGCATTATGCTGAAAGGTCAAATAATGCCTTCTAATGAAAGGCACAACATGTGGCCCCAGGATCTCATCTTGATAGTGTACAGCCATAAAATTTCCATTGATGATCACTAAAGAAATTCCTCCTCACACCATAAGTGATCCATCCCAAAATCTGTCCTGTTCCAAAACACAAGCTTCCACAAGGTGCTCTCCCTGACAACTGTACACACATTGACGGCCATGTTATCAAAACAACATGAATCAAGATTCATCCGTGAAGAGCATGGACTATCAATATATTATAGGAAAACATCTGTGGACATGTCAACCATCACATATGATGAGGTGCCTACTGTTGTGGTGTCAGTGGCAAACCAATGCGGTGGCAAATTGGTAGTAAACTTGCCACTCAGTCTATTTCTCCCAATCTTCTTTTGGTGGATTTGATGGTTTCCATTGTCAATGGTATTTTGTGCTGTTTCGGCTGCCATTAAACTCCTGTTATGCGAGAAGGAAAGGCTTATAAACCAGTCTTTACATTTGGACATTCAGATTTTGACCTGTCATCAGCTCTTTCTGTGGTGTTGAGCCATAAATCTAGCTGGCTTACAGTGGATTAGTGAACTCCGAAGTGAGTAGCGACCTGCTGTTGAGTGTTACCTTCAATTAGCATTTCAAGAGCACATCCTCTCTCAAGTTGGGATAGCTGTGGCATATTTGACTTGGGCTTTTTAAGAGTGACCTTGACCTGTAATCTGGCAACTTCTCATTAGATTCTGGCCATCATTGCTTGATAGGTCCATAAGAAAATATTTGTCAGTAAAATAATTCAAATTTGACCTTGACCTTTCAATGATGACCTTGACCTGTGATCAGGTGACTTTTCATTTGGTTACAGTCAAGTATGTTTCATTACATCATAAAGAATTATTTATTAGTAACATCTAGAAAAACATTTTTGTGCTGTTGAATCCGATTTCTATTTCTAGAAATGATGACCTTGACCTTTGACCTCTGAACATTGAAAATCATTGGAGAGCTAGCAGTAGGAATCAATGGAGGGAGTCTGAGTATGATTATTCAAACAGAACTGAGGATATTATGTAGAAAAAACAATTTTCTATTTACAGTTATAGTGACCTTCCTTCAAAAAAGCATCGGGTAAAATTTGAGTGGCCCTAAAGAACTTGAGACATTGTGCTGAAAGTATGGACAGGCAGAACATACTCATTCAAGTATACTTGCAGGTTGCATTAATAGTTCATTCAGTACACAGACTAACCAATCTGATAGCTATGGGAAACAGCATTACCGACATGGGGCCCTAATTATAAGTAAGTCATATTTTGAGATAAAACAATATCTTTATTTAAACTATAAAGAATATACAACGTACTATACATCAGGATAAACATAAGATATTGTAGTACATAATTCCAGTGTACTGGCAAGAAATTAAAATCCTAGTAAAAATTTATTCAAACCAAAATATTCAAGGTATTCAACAGAATGAAAGAACATCAACCGATGTAGCTTTAACTTAATATCACTCTGGTAATTAAAATATATACTCAATTACACTTCTGTATTACCTATAATATAAAATATTTTTGTACCCAATGTTCCTGCTGAAATATACCCATTAAGGACCCAATCATAGATAAAGAAAGGTACCTTTTGAGGCAATGTACATTATTTACATTTTAAGCCTGCCATATCAGGTACTCCATTTTCCTCCTCGAGTCCTAATCTGTCTGGCCACTAAGAGCATTGAATATACAAGGTAAGTTAATATAACTCACAAATATTGTAAATTAACAAAAAGTCTGTATTTAATCCTTAGATAATAACATAAATGAAAGACGTTATTATAAGTACAGGGGTAATGTACATATATTGTCTCACAGCTGATGATAGAGTATGACCTTATATGGTAATATCTGTACGTATGGCAGTGGATGGTCAAGAAACGTAAACATAACAAACATTTGCTAAAATCTGGACTTAATGTTGTGTTCAGCGATAATGACCTGTAAGATCCCAGCTAAACCTTTAGCATGGAGACAGCAATTCAGTAAAGAAGAAAATTAATATTCCTTTTTCAAACATCTGAAGTATTGTTCTCTCTTCCTCTGGTTGGATGTGTTTCTTAAGAAGACTTGAAATAGATTTATGCAGAGTCTTAGAGTAAAATATACTGGAGAAAGTCCCCTAAGGTTTTTTTTAAGCTTTTTATGAAACTGAACAACTCACATCACAAGGCAAGTTTATGTGAAATTTGTCATAATTACCAGGCATGTATTGTAATCATAAAACAAGTATTTAATGTACCTTGAGAAGACAGAAAACTGAGATAAGTCTTTTCAATGGTATATGTTATAATATCTCGCCATCCTACATTTGCCATGACCCCTGACCTGTTACCATGGTAACCAGCGATATCCTCTATTAACAGTGATCAGAATTGTAAGTACTTCTGACCCAAGATGTGACTTGGAAAGTAGGTCGCAGTTACCTACTTTAAAAACCAATGGTCAAGTTATGATATAGACAGTCTATACAGGCATATCACTTAAATGTCATTTTTCTTAAATATAAATGTGTGCTACATCTTGTGAAATATATAACAGCATATTCAAGCACCAGATGAAATGCGTAGTCAAGTAAATATAGTAATTCAATGTAATCCATTAGATATATATATATATATATATACTGTTGTGATAAAGGACACTTTTAAGAATTCCTGATATTTCACTGGTATATGTTATACAGTATCTGACCAACCTACACAGTTCACCACATACGATAAGAATCATAGAACAGTTCTAAATCACGCGCTGAGTATGTACAAGTCATACATAAATGTTTCAGACGTCTACTCTTTAATGGTTTATTTACATAACCTCCTTATCTTGACATCATAAACCAAACTATTCCAGAATGTCTGCCTAGTGCACCGAATCAACCTGTCAACCATGCAAGGTCATAGTCTGGTCCACTTGTCCATCATACTAGGTCACACCTTGGTCCACCTGTCCATCATCCTTGGGCACATCTAGCCACATGTCTTTAATCCGAGGTCACACCCTGATCCATCTGTCACCATCCAAGGTTAAATCTGGTATATCTGGTGGTGATCCAAGGCGACAATCTGGTCCTCCATTCCACAAAAACAGGTTCTCAACAACACCCTGATTCACCTGTCTTAAATCCAAGGTCATAATCTGGTCCATTTTTCAAGGTCACATACTAGTCCATAGTCCCAGGCCACACTCAGGTCCATCTGTCCACACCCAAAGGTCATACCCTAGAAGGCTGTCCCAAAACAACTCCTTTGTCCGCATAGCTATTCCTAAATATTATCGGTCTACCTAGTTGTCTGTACATATGTATGATATCACTTTGCGGAGATGTTGGTTTACGATTGTTATCATACGGATTCCTTGGAAGAATATCAGTATTACTTTTACCACCTTCCTGAAAGTGATTTTGGTGGTGAGAATGACCACCTCTACCCCAGTTGGGCTGGTAGTAGTTATCTGCAAGGTTAGAAAAATGGGAATGAGATCGTAAATAGTCATGCTTGTGTCCATGTGGTTTCTCATCACTCTTATCCTTTTCATCATCAGAATCGAAAAACGGCATAGCTCTGTATTCATCTTCTTTCTTTTTTTCTAATTTCAAATATTCAGCAAAAGACCCACGTGGTTCCTCTCTTTCATCAGTGATTTCCCTCAGGTCAAGGCGAGGAACAGTGGGCTTGTTAGACTTGTCTGATTTCAGTTCTTTACTTTTCAGCTGTTTTATCTCCAGATCTGCCAACTCTAGATCCAAACGATTAAGTTCTCTCTGATATTGTGATATAGTCACATTCTTGTGAGGTTCGCTACTACTTTGACCTTGGTTAGCTCCATGACCTTGAATAGGCCTCTGACCATGGTAAAGACTATTTGGATAAGAACCATCGATGTGACTTAGCTGGTGTGCCACAGATGACTGATGGTCTGTGGTACTTTTCTTGCTTTCACTTAGCGACAAACTATGTACAGAAGACTTCCGGGACCTCTCTCCATTATGACTTTTCTCAGACAATTGCTGCACAAGATGGCCATACTGTGCCTCAAATCTATCGAGTCTGTCATGGGGATCCCTCTGGGATGGAGCCTGTAATATGGGATTAAAGCTGACCCTAGGGTTAGTGTCTTTAGGGTATTGCCTACCTTCTCGGTCAGACTTCTTCCGGTTATGAAAGTTCTGTTCCTGTAGAAGCATCAGCTCTTTGTGTAGTCTTTCGTTCTCTATCTCCAGCATCTGTAGCTGGCCAAGATGGTCCTTCTTGTCTGTAACATACATATAACTGACCATTACTTACCAGTAATTCACCAACTTGTCTAGGCAAATGTGTTAGCATTCAGTTGACATATTTATTGAACTGTCGCACCTAATAAAAATATGAAGTTTGATACTTTAAGGAACTGGTTTTAATAATGCTTTCTTTTTCTAAGACAGCTTTTATTTTTATTTAAGAAATTTTACTTAGCAAAAAATCAAACATATTTAAATACTGTCTTAATAAAATCAAAACCTTCTTACATAAAGTTCACCTGTATTGAACAATTATATACTACAAAACCACTATCTAGACTCTCTTTTGTGTCTGTAATCTGCTTCATACCATCTTCCTTGTTTGTCTATGGATACCAATATCTTCTGCTCCACATATACAGGGTTGATAGTTACTGTTTGTTCCATGTCGTCTTTGTTAACAGTGTCTATAGCAATCAATGTTTGACAGTACATGTTAAATTACCTTTTTTATCTGGAGCCTGTTTCATGCCATCCTCTATACTTTGAGCCTCAGCCTGCATCTGTGCCATCTGTGCCAGCACATCAGGATCATTACCACCATTTTGGAGATATGCCTGCCTCATTGCACTGCAACATTATACAAACAGGATTTATTAGCTGTACTTAATTTTCTTTATTTGTTGTTGGGTTCATTACCCCAAGAACAAATATGGTGGTCATAGTTGGGGGTGGGGGTGGGGTGGGGGTGGAGTGGGGGTGAGGGTGGGGGGTGGGGTTGGGGGTGGGGTTGGGGGGGGGGGGTGGGTGAGTGGGGCTTTGTATGTAGCAGCTGGTTAAAGTGCTCTCCTTAGTTACTTTTCTAAAGTTACAAAAAACTTTCTAGAGCTAGTTTTCTTTTAACTTCTGAAAAAAAAACCCATCAAGATTGAAAAAAAATACCATTTACAACAAATTTTGTTGTGTAAATTCTTCATTTTATCCTATGACTTATAAAGCATTGCATTATCAATGGTGTGATATAAATGGTGAATCCAGCCTCCCACTGACCACAGACTAAGCAGGGATATCTTTTGTAGATTTTGTAAGTAAGTTTTATTAGCGTGCAGTGTGATGTACCCACCTGATCTCGGCCACCAGTGAGTTGCCATAGTATACAGGATAAACGTAAGACTTCCGGTCAGTGGCTGGCAATGCTGGGGGCTGGGGCTGTGTGGCCTTCTCTACCTCTCTAAAACACAGAAACAGGCTCATAAAAACTTGGTTAAGTCAGCCTCCATTATATACAGACACCTGTCTAGTATGTACACATTCCGTTATATACAGACACCTGTCTAGTATGTACACATTCCGTTATATACAGACACCTGTCTAGTATGTACACACAGACACCTGTCTAGTATGTACACATGACGTTATATACAGATACCTGTCTAGTATGTACACATGACGTTATATACAGACACCTGTCTAGTATGTACACATTATGTTATATACAGACACCTGTCTAGTATGTACACATTCTGTTATAAACAGACACCTGTCTAGTATGTACACATTCTGTTATATACAGACACCTGTCTAGTATGTACACGTTACATTAAATACAGAACCTCCCTTCTGTTGATGATAACAGTAAAAACCTGTCTGTACCAACACCTCTGCATACAGACCCCTGGCCAGTCAGCAGTCCATCACTGATCATTATAGTGCAACAGTAACAACCTGACTACAGCTGTCCAGTGTAACATTACAGCATATCAGTAACAAACTATGTTGATAACACACAGAAACATGTCTTTCTAACATTTCTCTATATGCACGTCATATACAAATTAACAAGATGTAATGTCAGTCAAATGTTAGTTAAGTCATGATTCACTAAAGAAGGCATATACAACTACCTGAAAGCTTAAGACTAAAAAATATTGATTCCAATTTTAAACATGTAGAGACACATAATGACTGATATACCAATATATATTCTATTAGCAATATTGATTTTAACAGATCCATGCGTACTTAATTTATTTTACAGTTTCTGACAAGACAATATCTCAATTCATGTTTATCAATACCAAACAACTGGATCACCAAACTGAAGGCAGTGATTCCATGCCTTAGTGCACCCGAAGTTTCATAATGTGTTATGATCATGTATCATCTCTATTTTTGAAAGTTAATTTTATCGAAAAATAAGTAATATTTACAGCAATTTTTTTTTCATTTTAAAATTTAATATTTGTTTAATCTGAAGTACTGTTAGACTAAAGCACTATAGGGGTACTGATGATTGTGAAGCATTTGTTCATTTAGCATATCGGGGAACGAATGCTACTCTGAAATAATATATTATTGGATCAACTGCTAAGCAGATCCATCATGAAATATCACAACATTACACCTGAAAAAAAGATTAATTAATAAATACAAGAATGATATACTAAATCTCTTGTAATATGATATTAACTACATTCTAGATAGATATATAATTAATAAAAGTTTACGTAACAAAACTAAACATTCTACAGATAAAATAAAACACAAAAACAAAAAATGTTAAAGTGACGCATGCAAATGAACTGATTAAACAAAAACTCTTGGTCAAACCTGAGCGGCCATGCCTGTAGTGGTTGGAAGCTTGGCTGATCCGAGACATGATGACTAGGGTAAGGATGACTAGAGTACGGGCAAAACTGACCAGGGTAAGTTTGATGGGAGGGTAAATAGCAACTATATTGGTCACCTGACTGTAGGAGTAGAGGTTTATATCCCTGCTGTCGCCCTCCAGAAGCCATTCTGTCCTTCATACTCTCCATGTGTCTACGGAGGTTTTTGTATCTATCTACAAGGCTCTGCTCTTCCGACTTTTGTTCAGAATCATTCAAATCATCAATTCCATCAGAGGTTTTATGATCCTTAAAATTTTGAATGCCATCTTGTATTACAGTACTCGGAGTGCGGAATTCCATTTTACTTGAAATTTCATGTAATGGGGACAAAATGTCTGCAGATTGAGCCAAAAGTCTTTCTGTAGTGTCTCTAGAGTCTGTTGTGATTCTACGGACTTCTGCAGAACAAGAATTACGAGATAGTTTTGAATGTGTTGTCTGTGATACTGGGGTGACCCTCCTAAGCTCTTTTCCGTTGCCTGCCAGTCCAGTCTGTAAACTTTCTTTCCCTCGACCAGTCACAATCATATCCACTGCTTTCTCAGAGTCTGGATCATCTAGGAGCTTGTTCTCCAATGCTTCCAGTATATTCATAGATGCCTCCATATTTTCAATGAGATTAGTTGCCTTGCTACACACAGGTATACAACAAAGGTTTTTATCTAGTTATAAGAAACATCTACAAATACTATTTCTTATAATTCAATCCATGATATATAAGTAAAAACTAGTAAATCTACAGATACAAAATCAGAGCACAACAGAAAGATTACAAAATATTATATACTTTTGTTGTTAAAAGTTATTGTACTACAAACATTATACCTATGTAGGAATATTTAAATGGAATAAGCTGGATTTAGAGATAAATATTACTAACATGAAGTTGACTCGTTGACCATGGATGTCATAAAGTTGCCTTCTGAGATCGTCCAGTGCCAGCTTGTTACGTTCCTCTTGGGCACGGAGTTCTGACAGAAGTTGTGTTGTATTATCTGTGGGTTGTGGTTTGCTTCCCTTGTTAGCCAGCTCCTCAAGACGTCGTCTAATATCTGTCACAAAAAGTCAATCTTATTATTTTGCATTCTTGTATCACTATAAAAAATGAATACAAGTAGCACTTTCTTGAAGCTAACATATCTTTGACTGATCATTTTTCTCCAGTCATGTTTTGGAATATATTCCCTATCCTAACAACACCTATTTTACACCTCCCTGCCCTGATTACGCCTATCTTACACCTTCCTACCCTGATTACACCTATCTTATGACTCCCTTCTCTGATTACACCTATCTTACACCTCCCTACCCTGATTACACCTATCTTACACCTCCCTACCCTGACTACTCCTATCTTACACCTCTCTACCCTGATTACACCTATCTTACACCTCCCTACCCTGATTACACCTATCTTACACCTCCCTACCCTGATTACACCTATCTTACACCTCCCTACCCTGACTACACCTATCTTACACCTCCCTACCCTGATTACACCTATCTTACACCTCCCTACCCTGATTACACCTATCTTACACCTCCCTACCCTGATTACACCTATCTTACACCTCCCTACCCTAATTACACCTATCTTATACCTCCCTACCCTGACTACACCTATCTTACACCTCCCTACCCTAATTACACCTATCTTACACCTCCCTACCCTGATTACACCTATCTTACACCTCCCTACCCTAACTACACCTATCTTACACCTCTCTACCCTGATTACACCTTCCTTACACCTCCCTACCCTAACTACACCTATCTTACACCTCTCTACCCTGATTACACCTATCTTACACCTCCCTACCCTGATTACACCTATCTTACACCTCCCTACCCTGAATACACCTATCTTACACCTCCCTACCCTGATTACACCTATCTTACACCTCCCCACCCTGAATACACCTATCTTACACCTCCCTACCCTGATTACACCTATCTTACACCTCCCTACCCTGATTACACCTATCTTACACCTCCCTACCCTAATTACACCTATCTTACACCTCCCTACCATGATAAAACCTATCCTACACCTCCCTATCCTGAATACACCTATCTTACATCAAACAACTGGTATACCCACCAAATGTACCCTTACATGTATTCTCTGTCCCTTGAATCACCAGTAACTAAGTCTACCCTCTATCATCATGTACCCACCTTCCCGTTGTTTTTCCAGGTCTCGGTTTTTGATCTGGAGGTATTCCATCTGCCGACCATGGTTTTCTGCCAGTTGTTTGAGCTGGGAATCCTGGTTTGGATTATACCTCTGATAGTCCTACAACAGATAAACCTGGTTAGAATTGTACCTCTGATAGTCCCACAACTGATAAACCTGGTTAGGATTGTACCTCTGATAGTCCTACAACAGATAAACCTGGTTAGAATTGTACCTCTGATAGTTCTACAACAGATAAACCTGGTTAGAATTGTACCTCTGATAGTCCTACAACAGATAAACCTGGTTAGAATTGTACCTCTGATAGTCCTACAACAGATAAACCTGGTTAGAATTGTACCTCTGATAGTTCTATAACAGATAAACCTGGTTAGAATTGTACCTCTGATAGTCCCACAACTGATAAACCTGGTTAGGATTGTACCTCTGATAGTCCTACAACAGATAAACCTGGTTAGGATTGTACCTCTGATAGTTCTACAACAGATAAACCTGGTTAGAATTGTACCTCTGATAGTCCTACAACAGATAAATCTGGTTAGAATTGTACCTCTGATAGTCCTACAACAGATAAACCTGGTTAGAATTGTACCTCTGATAGTTCTATAACAGATAAACCTGGTTAGAATTGTACCTCTGATAGTTCTATAACAGATAAACCTGGTTAGGATTGTACCTCTGATAGGTCTACAACAGATAAACCTGGTTAAGATTATACCTCTGATAGGTCTACAACAGATAAACCTGGTTAGGATTATACCTCTGATAGTCCTACAACAGATAAACCTGGTTAAGATTATACCTCTGATAGTCCTACAACAGATAAACCTGGTTAAGATTTTACCCCTGGTAGTCCAACAACAGGTTAACCTGGTTAAGATTTCACCTCTGGTAGTCCTTCAACAGGTTAACCTCAATAAGATTGTACCTCTGATAATCTCAGAACAGAATTGAATCATGTCCTACTTCCAGTCAAAGATCAGAGAAGTACACATCCTTCAGTAGGATTTATAAGGCTAGTTTCATCAGTTCTTCACTTATATTCACTAACTTTTATTGGAGACAGAGTTTTCTTTTCCCAAACTTTCATTTTGTATTATCAGATCAGATTAATAGCAATGATTTAAAACTAATTGTAAAGCAAAGAATTTGCAACAGTTTAAGATATATATATTAATATTCCATTTGATACTCCTATCTTCAAGAACAAACAAACAAACAAACCTGTAACAAAGACTATGAAACCAGGGTTAGTGTGTTGATATTTCATAACAGAGGAAATACCAGGCATGATGGTAATTAGTTAAACTTTATAATAATTTTTGTACAGAAAATAGCAAAGAAGGTATACCTGTATGACTTTAGTAAGGAAGGTAACAACTGAACACACCTTTATGACTTTAGTAAGGAAGGTAACACCTGAACACACCTGTATGATTTTAGTAAGGAAGGTAACAACTGAACACACCTGTATGACTTTAGTAAGGAAGGTAACACCTGAACACACCTGTATGACTTTAGTAAGGAAGGTAACATCTGAACACACCTTTATGACTTTAGTAAGGAAGGTAACATCTGAACACACCTGTATGACTTTAGTAAGGAAGGTAACACCTGAACACACCTGTATGACTTCAGTAAGGAAGGTAACACCTGAACACACCTGTATGACTTCAGTAAGGAAGGTAACACCTGAACACACCTTTATGACTTCAGTAAGGAAGGTAACACCTGAACACACCTGTATGACTTTAGTAAGGAAGGTAACACCTGAACACACCTGTATGACTTTAGTAAGGAAGGTAACACCTGAACACACCTGTATGACTTCAGTAAGGAAGGTAACACCTGAACACACCTGTATGACTTTAGTAAGGAAGGTAACACCTGAACACACCTTTATGACTTTAGTAAGGAAGGTAACATCTGAACACACCTTTATGACTTTAGTAAGGAAGGTTACACCTGAACACACCTGTATATGACTTCAGTAAGGAAGGTAACACCTGAACACACCTGTATGACTTCAGTAAGGAAGGTAACACCTGAACACACCTGTATGATTTTAGTAAGGAAGGTAACAACTGAACACACCTGTATGACTTTAGTAAGGAAGGTAACACCTGAACACAGCTTTATGACTTTAGTAAGGAAGGTAACACCTGAACACACCTTTATGACTTTAGTAAGGAAGGTAACATCTGAACACACCTTTATGACTTCAGTAAGGAAGGTAACACCTGAACACACCTGTATGACTTCAGTAAGGAAGGTAACACCTGAACACACCTGTATGATTCTAGTAAGGAAGGTAACAACTGAACACACCTGTATGACTTTAGTAAGGAAGGTAACACCTGAACACACCTTTATGACTTTAGTAAGGAAGGTAACACCTAAACACACCTTTATGACTTTAGTAAGGAAGGTAACATCTGAACACACCTTTATGACTTTAGTAAGGAAGGTTACACCTGAACACACCTGTATATGACTTCAGTAAGGAAGGTAACACCTGAACACACCTGTATGACTTCAGTAAGGAAGGTAACAACTGAACACACCTGTATGACTTCAGTAAGGAAGGTAACAACTGAACACACCTGTATGACTTTAGTAAGGAAGGTAACACCTGAACACACCTGTATGACTTTAGTAAGGACGGTAACACCTGAACACACCTGTATGACTTTAGTAAGGAAGGTAACACCTAAACACACCTTTATGACTTTAGTAAGGAAGGTAACACCTGAACACATCTTTATGACTTTAGTAAGGAAGGTAACACCTGAACACACCTGAACACACCTGTATGACTTTAGTAAGGAAGGCAACACCTGAACACACCTGTATGACTTTAGTAAGGAAGGTAACACCTGAACACACCTGTATGACTTTATTAAGGAAGGTAACACCTGAACACACCTGTATGACTCTAGTAAGGAAGGTAACACCTGAACACACCTGTATTACTTTATTAAGGAAGGTAACACCTGAACACACCTGTATTACTTTATTAAGGAAGGTAATACCTGAACACACCTGTATGACTTTAGTAAGGAAGGCAACACCTGAACACACCTGTATGACTTTAGTAAGGAAGGTAACACCTGAACACACCTGTATGACTTTATTAAGGAAGGTAACACCTGAACACACCTGTATGACTTTAGTAAGGAAGGTAACACCTGAACACACCTTTATGACTTTAGTAAGGAAGGTAACACCTAAACACACCTTTATGACTTTAGTAAGGAAGGTAACACCTGAACACATCTTTATGACTTTAGTAAGGAAGGTTACACCTAAACACACCTTTATGACTTTAGTAAGGAAGGTAACACCTGAACACACCTGAACACACCTGTATGACTTTAGTAAGGAAGGCAACACCTGAACACACCTGTATGACTTTAGTAAGGAAGGTAACACCTGAACACACCTTTATGACTTTAGTAAGGAAGGTAACACCTAAACACACCTTTATGACTTTAGTAAGGAAGGTAACATCTGAACACACCTGTATGACTTTAGTAAGGAAGGTTACACCTGAACACACCTGTATATGACTTCAGTAAGGAAGGTAACACCTGAACACACCTGTATGACTTCAGTAAGGAAGGTAACAACTGAACACACCTGTATGACTTCAGTAAGGAAGGTAACAACTGAACACACCTGTATGACTTTAGTAAGGAAGGTAACACCTGAACACACCTGTATGACTTTAGTAAGGAAGGTAACACCTGAACACACCTGTATGACTTTAGTAAGGAAGGTAACACCTAAACACACCTTTATGACTTTAGTAAGGAAGGTAACACCTGAACACATCTTTATGACTTTAGTAAGGAAGGTTACACCTAAACACACCTTTATGACTTTAGTAAGGAAGGTAACACCTGAACACACCTGAACACACCTGTATGACTTTAGTAAGGAAGGCAACACCTGAACACACCTGTATGACTTTAGTAAGGAAGGTAACACCTGAACACACCTGTATGACTTTATTAAGGAAGGTAACACCTGAACACACCTGTATGACTCTAGTAAGGAAGGTAACACCTGAACACACCTATATTACTTTATTAAGGAAGGTAACACCTGAACACACCTGTATTACTTTATTAAGGAAGGTAATACCTGAACACACCTGTATGACTTTAGTAAGGAAGGCAACACCTGAACACACCTGTATGACTTTAGTAAGGAAGGTAACACCTGAACACACCTGTATGACTTTATTAAGGAAGGTAATACCTGAACACACCTGTATGACTTTAGTAAGGAAGGTAACACCTGAACACACCTGTATGACTTTAGTAAGGAAGGTAACACCTGAACACACCTGTATGACTTTAGTAAGGAAGGTAACACCTGAACACACCTTTATGACTTTAGTAAGGAATGTAATTCCTGAACACACCTGTATTACTTTATTAAGGAAGGTAATACCTGAACACACCTTTATTATTTTAATATGTCCTACAAAGTCATCAATTTCACACATAAATATCGAACCCACCCTAGGACGTCCATTAATGTGTATACTGAGTTTTGTTGATCTTTGTGCCATTTATTTACAAATATCTCCAGGCCTATAATCAAAGTTTGACAGAGAGAACCACTGGACGGGGTTAGAATTCACCAGGACAATGAGCCAGAGACGTGAGAATGTTTATCAGGCAAAATGTCTTGTGGTTACTCAATAGAGCTATCCTATTATGGAGGCAGTATTATATGTGTACCGTGTATATAAAATAAATAAAACGAAAACAGTAATAATCTATTCATCGTAAAATTCTTCTAAGTGTTGCAGTCACAAGTCTGGACAAGTTATCCATGCAAATAAGATATGTTCATAATTAGAAATGTCTTTTCAATCATGTTTACCTGCATTGTGCTTATCAAAACAAGTCAACACTACAGGTTCACTACAAGTTCCTTTAAATATCTTGTAATATACAAAAATCCAATCTAATATGTTCGAGGGGAGTCGCTGCATTTTAGCTACCTGTACATCTGACAAGACATGACTGTACACATACCCAATATACATACAACACACACCTGGAAAGCTCTCTAAACCAGTAGTAAATCATTGCATTTATCAATTTATATCAACATAATCTTAATTTACCTCTCTATTTTTTTTTTTTAATTTTCTAATTCACAATATCATGAAACATATTCATACACTTTCTCTTCTCTGTTTCTATCTCCTAATCTCACACCGTCAGTTTACTTTATGGTCTAATTTTTAATTTAAATTGAACCACAATGTGCTGTGATCTGTCGTCAATAAAATAATCCTCAGTATCTTTCATGTGGCACTTTGATTTTGACTTGTTACACATATCATAGTCTATCTGTAAAGGGACAGTGTATCAGACAATGTCAATATCCTAAATTATAGTCATCAAAGGCACTTGAATAATTCCCCATGATTTTTGATAATCCCTCTGTAAGACCCCCCCCCACTACATCACAGAGGTACATATTGTCTGTACCTGGCAACCCAGATACTAATAATTAAATGGGCGGGCACATTGTAACACTACCTTCCCAAGCTACGGCTTTGTCTTCAGAGAGAAATCATTACCGGGGGTATTTCGAAAGATCATCAAGAAAATCTTCTTTGAATTTTCTTCTTTGTTTTCTTTCATTTTCACTTTCATTTTTGTATACTAATATTTGATAATTAAGATCCACAGACTTAAAACTAGTGTATGGTGAATTCTTCTGTCATGTCATATCTTGATTCCATATTACCCCATATTATATCACAGGGTTATTCATTTATACGTCAAGGTCATTGTGTGACCTTGCACTTGACATGTTCAAAGTGTCAAGGTCATGTATGACCTTACATAATGATAACTATAATTATTACAGCATTGTTTGTAGACGACACTAATAAAATTACCATGATTATCTACATCCCATTCTTGTCTTTGAATTGTTGATATTTTAACTGACTAGAAATTAAAAACAGTGATTTGTACAAAGTTAACTAATAATCTCAAGTTTGTTTCAGTAACAGTGACATTGACCTTTGACCCTTTGAACACCCAGATGCCATTCCAAATAAGAAGCAGTGTGTAAAATTGGAATTTGAACGGTCCAAGACAACTGTGTTATTGTCTGGTTATGGTGATGTGGAAGGAAAGAAAGATGGCATGATGGAGTGAGGGAATGAAGGATGGCTGGATAATGAAAAATTATATATATATATAAGGAACATAAAGTTATAGTCAGCGAAATAAAATCTAATTATTTTCCTTCTAGTGTCACCTAATATGTTATACACCTAAACTAAACATAAAGAATGTGTGTTAATGTTTAATTACTAAAGACAGAAATAAGGGTTGGGAATCTAAAGTCAAAAGATTTTCTGTGACGCAAATAAACAAAAAACAATGATCGGTATTATTACAAACAATAAAAAAAAATCCACAAATTGAGAACATGTTACAGTGAATGTCAACCACCATGTGGCACCACACACAACAAGAGAATAATACCTTGGACTGCTGTAAAAATAAGTTGTTTTCTGTACATGTTATGATTAAAAATCCCAAAATAACATAGTAACACATTAATCACAGCACACAGTGTACATGTAATAGTACATTTAGAGATCATCAACTGGGGTTTATCTTGATAATGATGAGGTTTAATTCAAATTCATTACTCATTAATGCAAAAATGATATTTGTTGAACCAACTTAATATCTTCAATGACTGATAAAAAAAGTTTTCCAAAGACATGGTTACAATCATAAAAACTTCCACGGCACAAATTTCCAACTCAACCATCTGTATAGATAGACAGTTCCAAAATTTTTCAAGGAAGAACATTATTGTTACAATTTCTGGGTTTCACAAATTATCATTTCTTGTACCTTAACTGATTTCTGTTAAATTTATTACAAGGATTGTTTGTTCTAATCAATCAATACACATACATGCAGTACATTAAGCACATCCAGCACAAACACAAGTGGGTTTTTTTTCTTCTACCATGAAGGATTATCTGTGCTTAAGGCTGTTAATACATTTGTGCAAGGTACATACCTTCCTCTTTTTCTGAAACATGGCAGGTGGTAATTGTATGTTAACATTACACTCTAGATTTCTCAGGGCCAAACACAATTAACAACACATTTTGAGAAAACACACTTCAGGTTTATCAAAAACATTCAACTTGTCAGTCAAAAGAGCTTGTGTTTAAAAAGAAAACATTGGAAAAAATGATAAAAACAAAAAACTTGTAATTTCTGTAAAGTCATTTCATCTGGATTGGCGACAAAGACACGACAGCTCTGCTGTGGTATTATACACTGATAGCTGGTACTTATACAAATTCTTATGTTATACATACAACACAAAGTTTACACAGACATGAAGATATAACTTAAGGGTATACACAATATGTCCTCAGTATTTACACCTTTGATTTAAATACTACATTCAAGTGGTGTGCAAAAGGGAAAAAATTTAAATCATTTTCTAGTTTTTAATTTTCTTAGGCAAGAAAACAACCCATTGAACTTACTGAAGAAAGTTGTATGGTATGTGGAGTCTAATACAACAGTAGAGTAACTTCAACACTGTGCAAGGTAACAGCCAAAAGGAGGAATTGGTCAAATCACACAGAATTTGTAGCATCAAACCATTGATCTTCATTTGGTGTAGTATTTAAACCAATGTAAAACTGCGAATTATATAATTAAAAACACACACTCTCAAAATCTCTTAAAACATAAAACATTAACAATAATGTCTATAGACAGAATGAGCTCTGGAAAAACATCCTGCAATCACGATGTTCAAAAAATAGTCAAGTTTAACTTACACGAAGCCTAAATCAATAAAAGTAATGTTTGGATATACATTGTATCTAAAAAGAAATACAAAATTTATCCAGGAGATTAAAGAAACCAAAAAAATACAATATAAGTTTTCCTTTTCAGCTACAAACCTCAACCTTTGTTAAATGTAAGTTTTAAATAGACAGTGTAACTCGTGTTTCTGGATAACAGTAAAACTATAACCTTGCAATAATACAACTGTAGGACTTTTTGCGAATACCCAAACTGGACCAAACACGATATTAAGTCACAATTTGTCAAACCACAGTGGACTTACATCATCATCAAGATGAATGCTCATGCTAGCATCGGACATGACTGACCGATTATCCTGACGAGATGGACGGTCAGTGTGCTGTACTACAGGTTGATAATTCTTGCGTGGTCTCCTGTCAGACGGCTTCATGACTGGACGTCGATTACGGTCTGTGGATATTTTTTCTTTCAAATTCTCATACTGAAAAATTCCCCAGATATTTCTCGTAAATATTTGACTCAGAACATAAGATCAGAAAATTTATTTGTATAAATTTTGAATTCTTTGAATGTGCGATTTACTTAATACAAACTTGGCTGTTCAAATGTGGCTGTAACATATATACATGTGTAAGAATGAAAAGGAACTGTAAATGTCCAAACAGGAAGTGTCAAACAGGTTTGATTTCAATAAGTTTCACTGCCATTTCATAGTAATGTTAACAATGAAAATAACACCGATTTTAATGAGTGTTCGTGGGAATACTGAACAAAATGTGTTGCTCAATGAAAACCGATTGATCATAAATAAAATGCTTGATAGAGATGTCCATGTAAGCTGTTCTAATTGTCTCAAATATTTCTTTCAACATCTTTTCATTTTTTTTAATTAACATGTAAGAGATGTGTAAAATTAATGCTCAGGAAATTCTCCGTTACACACGAGACAATAGTTAGCAGTAGAACACACCGTTAAATCCAAATTGATGTTAGTTTTGTGTGTACAGAACAAACACATTTTCCAATCACAGTTATGTTTATTAGGAAAAACTCCTAAACAACCTTATGTTGTTTAAAATCATATCTATAAACTTCTGTTCAAATCCATTTCTTTTATGTGTAGTGAAAAAATCTCTAACAGATGGGAAATAAATATTCTTGTGAAAATATTTAGCCATCATAACTGAAATAGTGTCCTGTTTTAGAGTGATAAGAAAATTATCTAGACTTTGCAAGCTGGCTCTGAGCCTCACCTCCAGTTGAAGATGTCGGACTTCTTGGTCATGCGAGAGAGGCAGGTTTGAACGAGCTCGACTAGGATGACGTGTTGACCAGCCAAGCTTACGGTCTGTGTCTTCCAAAGTGTCTAGCAAGATCCTCTCCTCTAGATTGCGCAAGTCTCGAATTTTATTGCGATTCTCCTTATAATTTTTCAGTTCCGCCACCTTAGCAAATTTACATTTAGAAAAATGACTTTTTTTCACTAAAGTAATTTGGTACTGACGCATTCAATAGAGAAGGATTTATTATATACATTAATCATGACTTTGTCATAGAGCAGGTTCATCTGACATTCGAAGATACGGCCAATATACAGAATATCATTAAGCATTATCTGTCTATTATTGCTGAAAATAAAGAGAAGGTGTTCATACAAAGATGGCTGCCGACTGAGGTACTGGTGAAAATAAACAGTAAGTGTTCATGCAAAGATGGCTGCCAACTGAAGTACTAGTAAAAATAAAGAGTAGGAGCTCATACAAAAGATGGCCGCTGATTGAGATACTGGTAAAAAAATAATTAGTAGATGTTCATGCAAAAGATGGCTGCCAGTTGAGGTACTGGAGAAAATCAAGAATTGATGTTCATACAAAGATGACTGCCAGTTGAGACAATGGTGAAAATAATGAGTAGGTGTTCATACAAAGATGGCTGGACTGAATATATAGTCATCAAATATTGCTTACAACAACTTTTTCTTTGACCTAATAATACTAGAATTATTCATGGAGGATTCAAAGGCATAATGGAATCTCTATGAATGTTGCGAACACTGTTAACCTGCTGCTCTTCTGTATTTTAGAATTTCAAATAAAAGAGTACATTGAGTTTGTAAAGGACATGTGATCTGCTTATATAAAAGGCTAGGCCAACAACTTCTCATTGAGTCTTTAGTGATACATTGTAGTATACAGCAATGCCAGTATATAAGGCCATTGTGTCCAACTGTATGTGTACAATGTGAATCCTGGTGGAAAAAAGTCCTTACTCTGTATCTAACAGCTGGGCTTGAGATCTAACATCAGTAAAGGTTGACATCTGATATCATGTGGACATTAGACAGTAGAAAAAGAATCGTGATGGAAAGAAACATGAAGAAACCAATGAAAAGAAAATGTGTAATTTTACCTGAGGAACCATACAGGTAACATAGACATTGTCATGTGCCAACAGAAATATAAAAGGTATTGATGACTATGTAAGTAAAAAGAAAATGAAAACAAGAAATAACAGGACCTTTATACCACTTGTATCATCGTTATTTTGTTAATTGTTCAATCATTAATGATTTTATCGATATCTTATTTCAAACTCATGTATACAATCTATAAACACAACATTACAGGTGTTTTCTTTTCTATGTCATTAGATACCGTCTTTAAACACAAACAAAATAATGTACATCATGCTGACATTTTGTTCTATCAACATTCTAATGCCATTTATTTAATCTGTCATCTTCAACACTCAATCAAGTCTACTTGAACATCTCAACATTCAAGTTTACTTTAAAGTCCATTGCATTTTAACAACTATCAGTATATTTTCCAAAACACATCTCCCCATTCCTAAACACACCAAAAAACTACCTCCTTATGTCTGACCTCCCTAGAAACGACCTCCTTATACCTGACCTCCTTAGAAACTACCTCCTTATACCTGACCTCCCTAGAAACGACCTCCTTATACCTGGCCTCCCTAGAAAATACCTCCTTATACCTGACCTCCCTAGAAACTACCTCCTTATACCTGACCTCCCCAGAAACTACCTCCTTATACCTGACCTCCCTAGAAACTACCTCCTTATACCTGACCTCCCTAGAAACTACCTCCTTATACCTAACCTCCCTCGAAACTACCTCCTTACACCTGACCTCCCTAGAAACTACCTTCTAATATCCATCCCTCTCTGTGACTTACTTTCTTATACCAGTAGTGATATCCAGACTTATTATTACTCTGGTTTCCTACCACACGAAATCTCTCATGTGCTCCGAGCCAACAGCTTGTCAAATAGATTGAGCTTATAGTTTTATACATGTACTCCAACTTGGAAACTACTACCCAACTAACTTGAAAATACTTTTTTATCTGTAGCCCTCAGGAAAATGAAAACTGCATAGTCATCAATTTATAAATTTAAGGAAAGTGGATCTGCATTTCCTTTCCTTTGTATATTTAAAGTCAATATAAAAAAATGTAGTTTTGGAAAAGAGTTTGATGGTTGTGAAGATGCAATGTAAGCACTACCAGCACCAATCAAATTTCAATCAGCAGTGTTGCTATGGTAACTACATTATAACATCAATCATACAGTCCTACACCATGCTCATGCTTGTCAACATGCATTCTTACTTAACTATAATTTCAAAGCTACCTACAGCTGTTCATTCATTCAGAAATTCAATTCAATTTACAAGTATAAATCAAAAAGATGAAAACAATAAATGTTCACTTTAAAACAAAAACTTCTTGATAAAAAGGACTTGTCGACATCACTACTGGATTTCATTGTCAACACCATTCTATAAGTCATGTTAACTTACTACACATTATGCACTAGCACAATACGACAGTTCAAGTCAAGACAACATCTGTCACATCAAGTAAGCAAAACTAAAAGACTACTGGCGTGAAAGTCTACAGATATTCAAAACATGCATATATATATACACTAAACACTTTGGTTTACATTTTGAGAATTTGTTGAACACAGGATTTGATGGAAGGGATCTTGCATGCGTTTCCATTTCATATGAAATATCTTGAAACAAGTCTTAGAACTTTTCAATTGATCAAGCCTCTGGCAACGTGAAATGAAAAATCTGTAACCAGTTTTATAAATCTCACATACGAAGAGAAAATAAATGCAAGATTCTGTTCATCACATAACTTGTTAAATTGCCTTCTGTTGTCTGTTATAACAACAAACTTTGGTCAACATAACGGTTACCACATTGTAAGAAAGGGTGTGGCTTATATTCTGGTGTGTCTTTTATGTGGATCAAATAAAAAAAATGCTCAAAAACCAGCCCTGTGGCTTATACTCAGGCGCGGTTTATAGCCCGGAAAAATATAGTAAATATACACGGAATTTTTTAACTCAACTCACATAAGTTAAGTTAAGCAAATAAAAAACATTGTTTCTTTACTTTGTCCTCATTTAATACATTGCAACATCTTTCCATAACTAGTAAACATGTCCTGTTTTAGTTTCCTATGGAATCTTCAAACCATAATATCATTATCTAATGCTGTCAGGTTAAGTAAAGGAGGAGGCACTAACATTCAAAATTAAAGTCTGTTGCAATTTGATTGGTCCCTAAGTGGGACAAACCTTTTATACCTGAGCCAGAGAATCTGTGCTGAAATGTGATTGGACCCCAGGTGTGACAGTCCCTTTATACCAGAGGCAGAAAGTCTGTGCTGAAATGTGATTGGACCCCAGGTGTGACAGTCCCTTTATGCCAGTGCCAGAATGTTTATTCTGAAATGTGATTGGTCCCCGAGCGTGACAGGCCCTTTATACCTGAGCTAGAAAGTCTGTGCTGAAATGCGATTGGTCCCCAGGTGTGACAGTCCCTTTATACCAGTGCCAGAATGTTTATTCTGAAATGTGATTGGTCCCCGAGCGTGACAGTCCCTTTATAACAGTGCCAGAATGTTTAGTCTGAAATGTGATTGGTTCACGAGCGTGACAGTCCCTTTATACCTGAGCCAGAAAGTCTTTGCTGAAATGCGATTGGTCCCCAGGTGTGACAGTCCCTTTATACCAGTGCCAGAATGTTTATTCTGAAATGTGATTGGTCCCCGAGCGTGACAGTCCCTTTATAACAGTGCCAGAATGTTTAGTCTGAAATGTGATTGGTTCACGAGCGTGACAGTCCCTTTATACCTGAGCCAGAAAGTCTTTGCTGAAATGCGATTGGTCCCAAAGCATGACAGTCCCTTTATACCTGAGCCAGAAAGTCTGTGCTGAAATGTGATTGGTCCCCAGGTGTGCCTCTAACTATACAATAGCTAGGTTGCAATAGTTTTGCAGCATGCACATGCTGTATAAGGTGTAGGACAGATAGTCCTATGTACAAGGTACACTGAATGCATCATGCAGTATAACTATTAAACTGGCTATCATACACATATTTGACATACACTACTTACTAAGTAAGATGAAATGGATGGCTGCAAGAAAACGCCCTTGATATCATTAGTTTTAGACGTATCTTTACAATCCAACTTTTTTAATTCAAATACCATAACTGTTTATTTCAGAGAAAATGTGAAGACTTGAAATGGAAGTAATGAATTAATAGGAGTTTTTTCCAGCTTGAGGGTAGGACAGAAAAATCTCAACCCCTCTCTGCAGAAATTCCCAACAGTCTAACCATCTACCTGTACATTTGTATTATAAAGCATTTTGACTTGATTAATAAAACTACCAGGTATATTTAATGTGTTTTCTTTCTTTGATTTAATGAAAAGAAAATGTTTTCAAAATTCTGCAATGGTGAAATACAGGGTGTCTGATATTGTATAAAATTCTGGTACAAGCTATATATATTGAACTCTGCTTATGGAGAACCAGTATGATCTATGCTGAACTGAGGTGTCCAGCTAGAGTAGCAACGAAGTGTATTAAATGCTATTTCAGATATAATCTTTGTACAAGAGGAAAGAATATGACAGGTGTACGACAGTATATGATGATAGTAATGCCAAAAATAGTATAGAAATTGAAAATTAAACCGGTTACCGTTAACAGTGCAAGACATACAAACACAAAGCAGACTGTTACCACAGACATATAGATATCAAGTAATTTTATGTCTGCGATAGCACCTGTGAAAATCCGGATTGAATGGAGTACCTGAGCGCCAGGTATAGTTGCCTCTTACAGGAACAATGTATCAAAAAATACCCTTGCAGTATAAATCATATATTTAAAAAAAAATAGATTTTGACATTTGATATCACACTCAGTCGAGTTGATCAATCTTGGTCAGAATTTGTCTTAACAGAAGTGTTAATAGATTCAGAGAATGTAAATCGTAAATGTGATTTTGTTTATTATAAAAGAAAGAAGAAATCCAGACCAATGTTAATTAGTATTAATTAACTTTGTTTAATTAGCATTAATTAACTTCGTGTCAACAAACCATAACACACTGAGTGAACATTAAAACACTCACTCACCTTCTTCTCTGCTTTTTTCTGCAAAACAGTCAACTTTCTAATCAAAACTTGGAGTCACATAGCATTTTTTTTTTCAAATACATTATTTCAAAGAGCAGTGGTTTCAAATAAGTATCTTTTTATTAAAGATAAGAAAGAGTTGATTCCTGTATTTAAATGGATAAAGATTTGTGATTTTATTTTCAACATGACTCATCATATTCTTATATGTAAAACAACATGTTCAACAAGTCAATTTTGAAAAATTCTGTTTATGACTTTTCACTAGACATGTTAAAAGTTCAACAGTATATAAGATAATAGGCACATATTAGTGGGTTTTCTATCCTAAAAGTTGGGAGAAGAAAAGGCAATCTAAAATGATCTTCCTATTCTAAGTAATTATGTTCAGGACTTACCACATCGGGGGAATGGGGTCGTGGGGACGGTGTGCCTGCTGAATAGAGGCCTCTTCTCAGCAACAAGTTATCCGGGTCACCAATATTTCCACCAACACAAAACTTCTTTTTGTGTTTCTGTAGAAGTTGCGTAGAATCGAAAGTCATGTGACACTCATGACACTTATATTTCCCATCTGCCATGATGGCAGCTGTGTTTATATCGTCCTTTGTCAACACAAAATATTCCTGTTTCTTTTCTTCCTCTTTCTCCAAATCATTCTTTAATTCTGAAGGGAATGAAAATAATTAAAATAGAAAAGTATTCTGAGAATTAATTGTACAATCTTCATAAACTTTTAATAGATAACCTACTTTATTACAATGAAATACATATAAAAATACAGATACATTTAACAGGGGTCAGTGGTCTAACAGGTGTTTCATAAAATAGGTGTCTACAGTATCAAACAGATCATGACAACCCCTTCTGTACTGTTGAGTTTATAGATCAACACAGTTCTACAGATCTGTCAGAGACTTTTACGTCTCAGTCTGACCTTACTGTAAAGACTGTTATTTTCTGTGGTTCAAATTGTTGCAGACTGACTGCTTTACTGAATTCTTGATCCAAAAGGATGCATCATTCTCTTATTTGTATTATCTTCATATTACTTCCATATTATCTTCATATTATCTTTGTATTATCTTCATATTATCTTTGTATTATCTCCATATTATCTTCATATTATCTTTGTATAATCTCCATATTATCTTTGTATCATCTTCATATTATCTTTGTATTATCTTTAAGTGGCATAGATAACTATTGTTTGCATTTTTATTTCATCTTCTAGAATAAAAAATTAAACAAACATTTCTTGATAATAACACCATTACCAGTATCAGAAATAAACTTAAGATCTGCCATCAACCATTACTTGTATTTTACATGTAGGTGGGTGATAACAGAAACATCAATCTAGTACAATTTCAACTCATTAATCTGACATAAATTTGTCATTATCATTAAATTGAAATTAATAATGTATAACTATGATCATATTCTTGATATCATACCAACAACAATGATTGATGATCAATATATTTCCTTCATAACCAAAAAATTATACATCAAAAAAATGATCGCAAATAATACCAACAGCCAAGACAAAACATCTGTTATATTGCACTAGTATGACAACTCGAAAAAATTCAACTGTGATATTTTTTAAAGCCATCAGCAAATAAAATCTGGTTGCACTTTTGAGTCACATACCAATAAATTACTTATCAAACATATAATGCATGGCCCTTTGAGAAGTCTTTATCAATGCTTCCTTTCAGGACCAGCTCTTGCTTCACAAAGCTCCACAGATTTGTCAATAACATTTTATTTACCTCAACACAATAAACAACATCTTTAAAAGTAATGACAGCTAGGCTGAGAACATGCCTTTTCATAACTTTCAATGATGTTTAAATTTGATTTTTCAGCACCTATGGTAGATTAGCAGACAAGAAATGAACAGTTGTATGGTTTCCAGGCACCTTTGTAAAGTCTAGCTCAACTGTTATCACAACGTGTACGTTGGATCAAGGGTTCTCATGTCCTACACTTGAAATACCATCCTAATATTATGAAAACACCTGTATAGCTTAGTTTTGAATTTTTCTACTTGAAAACTAAATTCATATGTCATTTAAAATGTTTGACAAGCCCATGTATACCAGCTTTATGGAATAAAAGTTCATGCAAATTTTATTTTCATGTTTACTTCTGTTTCATCATCATCATCATCATCATCATCTATTTTAAATGTTTTAATTACCGATTATGTCATTTAATATATAAATATTGTGAATTAATCAATTAATATATCGAATATAAGAAAATCTACTACATTAAGTGTAATTGTGAAGATCCCTCCCACCTGGAACAATCAACTTTGAGACAGCAGTGACCTATGTTTGAAAACTCACAGATATTAAACTTTTTATTTTTTTTTTTTTTTTTTGATTTTTGATCAGCTACAGTGTAGAGGGTTTGAAAAAGTTTCGTCCTAAGAATGTAATCCTGATAAATACTGGCCATACTATACTGCTCTGCTAGAAAGAACTTCTCTTTAGCTCGATCAGTTGAGCATCAGACTAATCAGCTGGGGACCCCAGGTTCAAGTTCTAGCAGAGGTATTGAAATAAAAAAATGACCTCTCTTATGTTGGCTCTATGTAGGGACTCAGTCATGATACTCAATATTGTCCCACAGACATCACTGTAGCCCTAGGAAAACTTGAAGACAAGTTATCTCCTGGTGGGAGAGTATGTAAACCTGGTAAATACTATTCGCAATATATTGCTAAGCTTAAGAGAATTTTCTTTAGCTCGATCTGTTGAGTGTTGGACTAGTAAGCCAGGAGTCCCAGCTATGAGTCCTGGCAAGGGCATTGAAAAGAATAATGACCTCTGTTACAAGAATAAAAACTAAAACAAGCAAACAAGGAAGACAGAATGTAGTAGAATTACCAGCTAGGTATATATCGGTTATGTGTCTACCCAAAGTCTTTGGTCATAGCTTTCCCTATTTTCTGTTAAAGTTGGGATCACTTGCTGCATTACAGACCTTATCCAAAGTTTCTGACAATAATATATTGTGAAGTGTGAGCTGATAAGATGAAGTAAATGTTGACACTCAAACCCTAGTACTGGCTGTATGTAAGAAATGTCAGATTTGTTCATCTTTTTTTTTTTTCAATCCACTAAAGCGCTGAGAACAACATAATTAAATGTTATATATCAATTAACCATAATGTTACATATCTTCTTGACGTTGGTTCTGTAATGTTATGTATTTCAGACCAGCCATTTTGTTGAGCTGTAACATGTGGTGAACTAAAATCTATATATATATTGACCTGCGTGACCTCACATCCAGATTATTTTGGTTGCTGTAATTAACATGTGTCAAACATCCAGAAACAAACAAAAAAACTCACTTTTGAGTAAATTCATGCACCAAAAATATTACGAGTTTATATTGGCAATTTTGTGTATTTTTCTTAATATATGCATTTTTACATGTCAAACATCCTCCCAGTTATGATAAAATAACCAATTAATCCATTCTGATCGGATGTCAGTATTTTGTTGTCGTCTGTCATGTGAATAAAAAATCGACCATTAATAATCAATAGGCCATACATTCTTGCAATTATTTTACCTCGGATGTCCAAACATGGACGTCTTACATTGAAAAAATGATGATTTCAAAATTAACACTATTGTCTAGTATTGATGGCTGAATTCTGATTTTAGTTAACTAGCGAATTGCAGACCGACATATAACAAATAACTTTAAATAAAGTTTCACTGCTACAAATGTTTATCATCATTATTCAAAGTTCCCTCTCGTTACATTATTACGTAATATATTGCTTTAATGTGAACACCGGTAACTATGATTTTAACGAAAAACACTACATGCTATTAACGGCCAACTTTAAAACTGGAACAGTAATGGCACAAGTGTGCATCTGTTCAGAACGGTAAGTACCGCCCTGCAAGACATGTAGTGACAACCCAGTTCATGACCTCTGTTCACAGAAAAATATTTTAACTAGCACAAAAGCAATATCAAACTTACCATCGTGTCAGATTCTGTTTAATTAGCGGATTCACGGATTGTTTATATCCCTTTTCCACTTTCCTATCGGTCGTTACAGAAGCTATCGTATTAGTCAGACGCCATCATGACACCTGTTGCGCGCGCAGACGAAATCGCTACTTTTATTATCGTTGCCTGGGTGATGTTTACATGCACACACTACTTTCACAATGACCGACCACGTGTTTTATGATGTTCCTGAAATAGCCCAATCTTCATCGGACTCATATTGAGAAAGAAAGCATCGCTATGAAACTTTCCACCTGAAGATCATAGACCTAAACCAGGGACGTATGATAATATTATACGTCCCTGCCTAAACTAATAACATTTCCCAAGATAAAATGATACTCAAATATTTACAAAGTGATGTTAAATTTTAATTACATCAAATGGTATTGCCTTTTACTCTTTAAAAAAAATCACAGTAGATTTAAACTGAAAATGTTCCTTTGAATATTTTTTTAAAAACGAAAGCTCAAGTTCAGATAGCATGTGACAACAACACCACTAGCTAGGGTAATGCATTATTTCCTGTTACCTTACAGTTTCTACCAATTAGTTTTAATTTTTTATATAGATATGCTTGACTTGCAAACTAAATGTATTTCTACGGATTGGTTTAATGCGGGGTGGGGGAGTGTGGAAGATGTATGAAGGGAAATAACTCTTCGTAAAAATAGCCTATCCTGTATGATGAATTATTAAGGTTGGTGTCCCACTGCTCATCATTGTGGCTCTTACAAAGAAGTGTTCTTATTGTCTGCTGTTACTGGTTATATATTCCATGTCACTATTCCACTACCATTGTCATTGATGTTTTCAATCTCAATAAAGTCTAAACGAAGATGGTTGTTTGTTTACACTAAATGAAATAGACTGCATAAATTAAATTGAGTCCAATATGATCAAAAACATACATATTATATATATCATCTTTAACTGTTGTAGAGTAGAAGTTGAGAGCACAGATCACCTTAACTTCAGATATTGGGAATTTCCCTTTAGTCAAGTAGTGTAATGTCTGTTAAGAGACCAAAAGTTTTTCTAATTCTAACCTCATCAGTGGCAAGGTGTCTATCATTTCTCCTTCCTTTTACATATTTGGTTCTGTTGGTCAATCCAAGGATAGAAACTATAGGACATCAAGATGCTTCTTTGGAGATATCAAACCTGGGTTGTTGTCTTTGGGGTAAAAGACTTTGTGAAGGAGGGAGTAGTTTAGAAGGTGTGTATAGAGATTGCCATACTAGCATCAGCTAATGGGAATTTTCCTTTAGTTGAGACGTAGAGTGTCATGCTTGAGACCAAAGGGTTCCTAGTTCAAACCCTTGCAAGGGCAGGATGTTTTCCATTCCTTCTCATTACACCTTTCCATTTCAAAGGAAATTTTATAAACGTTTTTGCTGCAAGACATTTGTAATGTTCTAAGTAACTCCATGTTGTAATTCATGTAAATATTACATATTCTCATTATTGAGGAATAAATGTTGATACTAAATTTAATTAAAATTCAAATGATAATATTTTATTTAATGCATGCAGTGTACCAAACAGCTATGACTTCCTCATAGCCATCATTTTCAGAAAATGGTGAAGTTTCCCAAGCCTTAACCAGAAATTAGGTGAACAGAAAATCACGTGTGATCCCATCTTTTTTTTTTTTTCTTGACAATATCCTTTTCATACCATTTATGTTTTTTTTTCTTCTTTTATAATTATGTAAGGTTTTTATTTCAACATGAAAGCTTGAAAGGATAATATATACATCAAAATATCTTTAAAACCAATCAACAGATCCAAAGTTCTCAATAGGAGGAAAGTTCCAAAAAACTACTTTTTCAAAGGGACCACACATGCAGTTTGTTGGTTTTATTGGGTTTTTTTTGTAAACAGCTTGAATTCCCACATAATATTATGAAGTACTCACTATAGGAATAGTAGGTCTACAACATAACATTTGCTTTTCATCAGAATATCAAGATATTGGTGTTAGATTATGCAAAATTTTGAAATTTTTAAGTTTTTGATATATTTATATTTTGTTCTTATAACAGTATTTGCATTAACTGTTAAAGTATTTCTTTTGTTTCCATGTCACAATGTGAATTTGATTTACACGTCAGTGTCTGGTTTTTTTTGTATGTCACAGTGTTTCTTTTGTTTCAATGTTGAATGTTATTTACACAGTGTCTGTTGTTTCCGTTAAACTGTCTGTGTCGTTTATGTGTTTCCACTTCACACTGTCTCAGGTTTTTCCATACGAAAGTCTCTGTTGTGTCTGTGTCACATAGTCGCTATCTCTGTTCCACATCACAGAGTGTCACTGTTTTTTCTTTGTCACAAAGTGTCTTGTTTGTTCTCATGTAACACAGTGTCTCGGTTGTTCCCATATCATACAGTGTCTCTGCTGTTTCTTAGTATTTGTTGTTGCAATATCACATAGTACATATATCTCTGTTGCTTCATGTTACAGAGTACACACTGATGTTCTATTCAAATGTCACACAATATCTTTATTGCTGCCTTATTACGTAGTTTGTTCAGTGTTTAGCTATATCATCCTGGTTGTAATTATAACCAAGATTTTCATATCTGTTTCAATACATAGTAAAATTGTGGTGAATTCTCTGTGCCAAGCAAATATATATAGATATATATTTATCCGACAACCATGGGAATGTAGGAATTTTAGTGCATTATCACATTTTGAAAAATTACAACAAAGATGAATTTAAAATGTGACACAGTAATTATGATATATAAAATCCAATTTCAGAATGAAAACCACTTAAATAAGATACATCTGTTTATTGTATTAGGTCATGAAAACAATGTTTGGTGATAAATTAATTCATATTCATATTATACAAGTTCCTTTCATTACTAAAATTTTGTGAAAAATTTTAAGGTTTTGACAACAATGAGTGATTTGTTATGTTACATCAATGACATGTTTATGTAAAATGAAAAGAAATACTGAGATTAATGTACTATATTCTTTATCTAAAAGACATATGAAATGACAAACATAATAAATGAGTACTTGGGTATTGGGGATTTTACAAAGAATGAAAACAAAATGAAAGATGGATATTTAGCCCCTCAAAGGTGAAATAACATTTGTTGAAATTACATTACAGAAATATTAACTCCTTAAGTTCCTTGTCACCAGCATCCTCAGTCATCATTTCTTTAAAGAATAATCAGATAAAACTATAAAAAAAAAAACAGTCTTTAGAAGTGTCCCACTGCCATACAGTTAGTCAAGAATGACTACCAGAAATAAAACACACTCTCCACATTTTGTAAATGTTTTCTGGTACATGTCTCTTGATCACAACTTGATCAACATCTCTCATTAACAGCCTTATGTCATTCTATCTGAGGATTACAGATGGAGGTTCTATTTCTGATCCCTACGCCTGCCAACAGCCTCCTTCCAACAGACTCCTTAGATAGGTTTGATTTTAAAGTGTAGTCCAATGAGAGAGAAGACTAAACATTTGAGATCTTGCACAAGGTAGTAGAATGCTAAAAAATCCTTAGTCCAAACTCATTTGATACATTCTAAAAATTGACCATTTTAAAAGAGTTTTTGGTATTGTGAAAGGTAATTTAGAAATAAGACTGTTAAAAACACAAATCTAAAATCTTATCTTGGAATCAATAGGGAGTACCTTTTTAAATATTTGTTCAAAATAAAATGAATTAAGCTGCTATAGTAAACACACACTTTTCTTTAAATATTAAAAAGTACAAAAAAAGTGAAACATACACACATAAATTGTACACAAAGTGAAACATACACACTCAACCAAACATATTGCTGCAGAGGAAGAGGTAAGTGGAATAGAACCAGTAATAATTTACCAATAGGATAGTTCCTGCCGATACTCTTATCCAATTGATTACATCATTACATACTTACATAAAACATATTATTTGTCTGTACAGTATGAGTGAAGCTTTCAACATCAACGATAAGGTTATATGATCTATTGTACATTATTAATCAGACCAACTCTATGGTCTTGTATAAGCTTCTGTCTGTGGATTAACTCCTTTTGAATATAGCTTATATAATAAAATCTAAGCATTGTGAGTGAAAAGTCATACTTATACATACTTGCTCTGGTTGACATCAACAAGTGATCCAATTTTTGATGTTGTGAATGAAATATGTTCATCTCCAATGACAATTTCGAGTTCCTGAAAAAACAAGAAATTGCCAGTTATTCAAACATTTATAACAGTATAATATTATAGTATTACACTTGCCTTTCTGAGCCATGAAAAAATGCTATATACATTTGAATTCATTTCTAAAACATCTGGAGGTACAAAATGTATTTCAGTTCTTCTGGAATCATGATGTAGACTACTTTTCATACAAAGGCAGCTATAGCCACAAGAGTTTCAATCATAACACTAGAAAATGACTGTAAGACATATTTGCCTCTATTGCTGAGTGAAATTTGTTACTATGAAAGAAAGAATGAAGTGTTAATATTGAATTGGTTGACAATTTTCTATATATGGCAAGCGTGACCTTGGCCTTGAACTGGGGCTGTTGAAACACAATGACAATAAAGTGTATCAGTATTCATAATTGACCTTTGACATGGGCAATAAGCTCCCCTCCCCATTTTATGGCAGGGGCATGAAAAATGAAAACAGAACACAATTTTGACTTATTTATCTCACTCAATATTGTTTCAAAGAAATCACAGTCGTAGAGTTGGAGCTTGTGTATGATCCCACACATTTACATAAAGAGAATTCCACTAAAAGCAGGAATGTGGAAAACACAAAAATCTTATGTAAACCAACCAATGTGACAGAATGGAACCTGACTCCTGCAGACTTCAAGAGTAATGAAAAACTTCAGAAAACTGTGAAGTATATTAAAGGGAAGAAACAGATATGTCCCCAGAGATGAATAGGATTTAAAATACATTACTGAAAAAAGGAAATTCAAAACTCAACAGCCTCTACACTGACAGTATTATGATCAAGACATACAAAAAATCATATTGGCATAGTATATGCATACTGATATTTTGTACAAGTTTCTGAAAGAAAAATATGTAGAAATTATGGCCCAATGAGAGAGACATATACCTGTCTGCCAACTCTGTCAGGTGACGGCCACACTGCATCGTCTTCCTGGATCACCTCTGAGTCCTCAATGATACGTTTCAGTTCCTCCATCACTGACTTGTGTACAAATGCCTTTGTAAAACAGAAAAAAGAAATATAAAGCAAAGGCTCTCTGCAAGCTTGTAACTGTTATGCTGTGCTGCCTTTCAATAAATGCAATATTAGACACACCTATTATGTGCAATACAAAATAACACTATTGTGAGATACAAGACAATCATCTGATTCTTAGTATCCAATTCTCATGTCAAGGCAACTCATAACTTCATAACCATCTATTTTTATAAATAAATAATGTAAATGTAACTCGGTGGTGCATTTGTATACCAATGGATAATAAATACCAAGGAATAAACATGGAGCAAAGTTGTAAAATACAGTATAAATATACTAAAAAATGTCTGTATTTCACTGCAAATACTAAAGGCTAATAATACAATATTTTGGACATTTCAAAATAATATTCAACATTACCTCTTTCCTGATCATTGTGTCATTCTTGTAGTTTGAATTGTTAGCATACCTCAGTTTGCCTGCAAACAAAATATTATGTGGCAAGTTAGTATTTTTGTAGGATTGTTTTAGGCAAGTCCTGAACATCTTTTCCAAAATTAAGAGTCTCATTACTAAGAGATGGTAGGTGATAAAGTGCCTGCTTTATTCACCAAGAACAAATTCAACCAAGGTAAGTACCAAGTAACAATATATAAGTGTTTTTTGTTAACAAAACCAAAATGCCTCTAAGTTGGAAAAAACAGTAAATTTTGTTTCCAAAAGTTAACTTACCCTTGTGATCATTGGCCTCTTGCAATTGAGATATATATTTATTTTTCAAAAGGTAATGTGTATTTATATGATTTCATTAAAATTTGGACATAGCAAACCGTACACCAATTCAACAGAATAAGTAGTGACTATAAACATAACATTATGTTTACATTAAAGACTTATCTTATTGCCACTTTTATATTATAAAAGTTGCTGTCTAACAATGGAATATTACTCCATATGTGATACCAATGGTAGTATATGATTAACATAATATCTCTAGAATCAACTCCAAGCTACATCTCGCAATTCGTTCCTTCTCTTTGTTTTTGGCCTTTCAAAGTTTCATGCAATTTATATTAACTGTTTCTGGGGAATAAAGTTTTCTAATTATTTCGTCAATAGTTCGCCTTCAACAATATCACAACCTAAATGATCAACACACATAGCATGATCTTCGGCATGTCACGATTTCTTTTCAAGCATAACTGATTTGCAAAGATTCGAATGAAACACGTTGCGTCCACACAGTCACCGGGTGCGGAAATCGAAGGCAATTTACTCTGCAAAGTGAAGTCACACGGCTTCTTAAAGAAACGTATGTATTTGTCCATCTTTAATCTAATGCTTACCATCAGGTCTAAACTCAAATTCAAGAAATTCATGGCCAAATTTCCCTCTATGTCCAACATAATATCGCAGGTAAAAATCAGAGGACGCCGCCATTTTTATTAATGGTACGCGTTTTCTAATTATATCTTGACGGGTATTGAATTCCGGAACAAGTGCTACAATGAGAATATGTAACAAGCAAAATGATGATTTTGTTATAGTGCTCAATTACCATTAAAATAAAAATGAAAATTAAATATTACATCATGCAAAAAAGAAATCTATTTATATGTATAAAACGTCAAATTATCACAAGCTAAAATTTTAACCGGAGTTAGTACTTTACAATCAAAAGTCTTCCAAACGCTTGCATTTTACACAGAATCTATCATAAGTGGGCATGCAAACGCTAGCAGGACGTTACTGTATAGGTGGAAAATGGGCGAAGAATTACCGGAGAAGCTGATTTCTGCTGTTAATTGTAAACAAGGAGCCGTTAGAGCTGTTAGGTTTAACGGTGTGTTTTATAATTTACACGAATCACGTTATAGGTCGAACGTGCCGTTCATGGCCTAGAAACTCAACCGTTGGATCTAACTACATAACTTCCATTTTCTTACTATCCGAGTGGATTTTATACACACTTATAAATTATAAGAGTTTTATCCTCGCAAACAAGAAATCGTTCAACATACAACAGACTGTAAATCCATGCAGTTTTTAAAGATTTACTTTATAATATTGCTTAAAAAATGAATGATCAAACATATTATATTAATGTCTGTATTATACATCCCATACAAATCATGCCATCAGTATGGGTATCGCACATAAAAATGGTGACTCGCTGGATTGGCTCGTTAGTAGTGCTACTGTTTGATAATTTCTTAACAGAAATAATCTGTTTATTACGTATATTCAATCTGATTACTGTAAGGTCCATGTGTTATGTGTGTAAGTAGATGTATGGAGCCGTGAAAACATGAAATCACCCCACCCTACATAACATATGTAAAACATGTTTTTAAAGCTAACAGTTAATGTATCAATATCTTCTAACTCAGGTCACATTACAGGTGTTCAGTATTGAATACATTGTATATATATTCAAATTAACAAAACTAGAAAAGTGGATATAAGTTCTTATACTCTGAAAGAAATACAGTAATATTAATGAATTTTAATATAGTAATTTAGACATGGGCACTGTGATTGGAAAATGAAGACAATCACCAGGGTACATAATGGATATCAATACATGTATATATTATGACAGCATGAAAACTTAATCTAAATAAATCTACTGTGAGTCAGTGGGGTGACGAAACGGTACGCGGAAAAAGTCAGATATGTCCATCAACATTTATATGTTAACCTCATAAATAATGTTTCATTGCAAAATTGTAAAAGATATGGGTAAAATTTGTTTTGATTATAACATGAATGATTATATTTTTTTCCTATTTAGTCGGAGGGGATTACTGTTTGACATGTGGAAGCGATAAATCTGTGAGGCTGTGGAATCCTCATAGAGGAATTGCCCTGAAGACATACACTGGCCATGGCTATGAAGTACTAGATGCACAGTCTTCTAGTGACAACAGTCAGATCTGCTCTGGAGGGATGGACAAAACTGTCATGTTGTTTGATGTGGCTACTGGCAAAGCTGTTCGCAAATACAGAGGTCATGCAGGTAATATAAGCAGAGGTTTAGTTGGCCTGTTTTATAAATTGAAATTAAGGGTTCTGCATTTTGACAAATTCTGATTTTAATGAAGAACTAAAGATTGAATTCTACATTAATGAGTGCATGAAACATCCATATTTATCTGGTATCAAGTTCAGGCCTAGTAGTAATCCCACCCCAATCTAATGGAATTTAATTTTAGAAATACCAACAAATACTGTGTCTGTTTTCTGTAATAAGCCCATCCCCTGATTTTGAATCACAGGTAATGTTTAGGCCCCCTGATATTTCAGTTTCCCTGTAATAAGCCCACCCTATGACTTTTGAGTCACAAGTAATTTTAGTTTTAATTGTACATGTGTTTGTTAATCAGGTACTGTGAACTGTGTAAAATTCAATGAGGAGTCTACATTGATCTTGTCTGGGTCCATCGATAGCACAGTTCGCATCTGGGACTGCCGTACAAAGAAGATGGAGCCTATCCAGGTAGGAGTAGTATAACCTGTGTTTAGAGATAACACAGGTATAGATAAAAATAATTGTAGCTTCAAATAAATTAAGTCAACAGTAAATCAAGTACTTTATAACTTATCAATTACAAGGAGAGTTACTCTGTGTACACCTCTGTTAAAGAATTATGTAATTTGTTACATAAAATTTTTACGTAATTCTTTTAATGAGTGATTAGGTAATACAGTGTCATAACACACTTACCTTCACCGAGGCATGCAGGGTTCTATTCACTTCACGAATATGAAAATGTATGGGGTCACTAACTCAAACCTGTGAGATTTTCCCGGGTAATCTGGTTTCCCCCACAGTAATACCCTTTGCACAATTCCTTCCAGATCAATAAGAGTAATTGATATATGTTGGAATAACTTTTTTTTTTGCAATTGTTATAAAAAGATATTCATGTTTAATTGGAAAAAGTAATTTCTAAAAGATTTTAGATGAAGCTAAAGATGGAGTTACCTCCCTTCAAGTATCAGATAAAGAGATCCTGACTGGATCGACAGATGGTCGGATCAGGAGATATGACCTGCGTGTGGGGAAAATGTCTGTGGATTTAATAGGAAGTAAGTAATGTATGATAGAATCATGGTGAGATATGTGTATATTTGATTTAATTTACCCATTAAACATAAGTCTGCCACTAATATCACCAGATTGGAATAGAAATTTTAACTCTATTAGTCAGTTAACACACTTGTGTCATCTTGTCCAGGTCTAGGTGTTGAAGGAAAAGATCACTATACCATTGTTACAGTCAGATATTTTTCACTTTTTTTACCCTACAATAAGATAGATACTCTGACAGCAAAAGAAGGAAATCATCTAAAGGGTTTAAATTGAATTGTTTTGAAACTCTCAGTTTGCTTCATATTTGTCCCCTTGATCTCTAAAATTTGTTTTGTGATTTCAGCCTCTGTGACATGTGTGAATTTCACACGGGATGGTCAGTGTATCCTGACCAGTACTCTAGACAGCAGTCTAAAGCTCATGGACAAAGACACAGGGGAGATGCTGAACGAGTAAGTGTTAGGGCACTGGGGAGATGCTGAATTGATAAGTGTTAGGACATAGGGCAGATGTTCAATAAGTAGGTGTTAGGACACAGGGGATATGTTCAATGTATAGTGTAAGGACACAGGTAAGATGCTAAATATATAAGTGTTAGTACACAGGTAAGATGCAGAATGTGTAAATGTTTGGACACGGGTAATATGCTGATTGCGTAAGTGTTAGGCAGGGGTAAGATGTTAAATATGTAAGTGGCAGGAAACAGCTGAGATGCTGGTGTTCGGACACAGGAGAGATCCTGATTTTGAAAATATAAGGATACAGGTGAGATTATAGTGTAAGGATGCAGGGGGAGATCCTTGTGTTAAGAAACAAGAAGGATGCTGGCGTTAAGACAAAGGTGAAATGCTATTAATAAGACACAAGGCGGTGCTAGTGTTAAGACAAAGGTGAGATGCTAGTGTTAAGACAAAGGTGAGATGCTAGTGTTTAGACAAAGGTGAAATGCTAGTGTTAAGACACAAGGAGGGTGCTAGCGTTAAGACAAAGGTGAGATGCTAGTGTTAAGACAAAGGTGAGATGCTAGTGTTTAGACAAAGGTGAACTGCTAGTGTTAAGACACAAGGAGGTGTTAGAGTTAAGACAAAGGTGAGATGCTATTGTTAAGACACAGGTGAGGTGGTAGTGTTAAGACACAAGGAGGTGTTAGTGTTAAGACAAAGGTGATATGCTATTAATAGGACACACAAGAGGGATGCTAGTGTTAAGACAAAGGTGAGATGCTATTGTTAAGGCACAGGTGAGATGCTATTATTAAGACACAAGGAGGATGCTAATGTTTAGACAAAGGTGAGATGCTCAGTAAGAAATTGTTGTTATCTACTTAGGCAGTATCAAGAATAGAAATATATCATAGGCATGCATTTGATGTAAGTTTATCCTTTCAGTTAATGTTCAAATTTACAAAAAAAAAAAAAAAAGAAGGAGAGAAAAATCAAATGAAAATTACATTAAGCAATTTCTATCCAGGTACAAAGGTCATAAGAATAAGAGCTATAGACTGGAAAGCTGTCTAAATGTCCAGGACACCCATGTTCTCAGTGGATCAGAGGATGGCAATGTTTATATCTGGGGCCTAGTGGAGGTAACTATACTGTTTCATGGCTCACCATCATTTTTAGCATGTGTGTTTGGCAAACAAGATAGTAAGTCATCTATTTCAAACAAACCTGAAAATTTTACAATTTCAAATTGTTTCTTTTATTACTGAAATTTTTATTGTTAAGTAATTGAGAAGTTCTAGCACATCATCTTACATATGTAAACAATTAGAAACTGATGTGAGTGAAAATAACTTTTGCCTATTACCCAAAATAAAATCATGGACATACAGTCAGAAACCTTCAGACTACCCTTGTGTTGGAGTCCTCACACCTTGCAATAAATCTACTTTCTAACTTTGAGTCAGATTCAATGTATTGGTCTCTTAGGTTATTGCGGAATAAATAACATATTTAAAATGACTCATTTAATGTATTGTGATACAAATAAGAGATTCACTATAACTGTCTATTTCTGTGTCAGGCTAAAGTTTTGAAGAAGTTGACTCATGAACCAGACAAGGCTGTACACTCCATTGCTTTCCATCCTGAGGAAACATGTCTTTTGACTGCCAGCATGGACAAGATGTATGTGTGGAAGTCAAAATATGCCCCAAGCAGAGACTGAGAGAGTATGTTCACGAAGAATAGAAATCAAAGTATTCGAAAAGCTTGACTCGAAAGTGGTACTGTACACCACTAATGAAAGTGATACTGTCTACCACTAACTGAAAGTCAAGGTGCTCGGGATACTTGACTGAGAAGTGACACAATCCACCACTTAATGAAAGTCAAGGTACGCGAGACACTTGGAAGGGAAGTGGTACTGTCTACCACAAACTGAAAGTCAAGGTAAACGAGACACTTGGCAGGGAAGTGGTGACTGTCTACCACAAACTGAAAGTCAAGGTACGCGAGACACTTGGCAGGGAAGTGGTACTGTCTACCACAAACTGAAAGTCAAGGTTCACGAGACACTTGGCAGGGAAGTGGTACTGTCTACCACAAACTGAAAGTCAAGGTACGCGAGACACTTGGCAGGGAAGTCACACAGTCTACCACAAACTGAAAGTCAAGGTACGCGAGACACTTGGCAGGGAAGTCACACAGTCTACCACAAACTGAAAGTCAAGGTTCACGAGACACTTGGCAGGGAAGTCACACAGTCTACCACAAACTGAAAGTCAAGAGACACTTGGCAGGGAAAGTACCACAAACTGAAAGTCAAGGTACGCAAGACACTTGGCAGGGAAGTCACACAGTCTACCACAAACTGAAAGTCAAGGTACGCGAGACACTTGGCAGGGAAGTGGTACTGTCTACCACAAACTGAAAGTCAAGGTACGCGAGACACTTGGCAGGGAAGTCACACAGTCTACCACAAACTGAAAGTCAAGGTACACGAGACACTTGGCAGGGAAGTGGTACTGTCTACCACAAACTGAAAGTCAAGGTACACGAGACACTTGGCAGGGAAGTGGTACTGTCTACCACGAACTGAAAGTCAAGGTACGCAAGACACTTGGCAGGGAAGTGGTACTGTCTACCACAAACTGAAAGTCAAGGTACGCGAGACACTTGGCAGGGAAGTCACACAGTCTACCACAAACTGAAAGTCAAGGTACATGAGACACTTGGCAGGGAAGTGGTACTGTCTACCACGAACTGAAAGTCAAGGTACGCAAGACACTTGGCAGGGAAGTGGTACTGTCTACCACAAACTGAAAGTCAAGGTACGCGAGACACTAGACTGCATAGTGGTACTGTCCACCACTAACTGGAAGTCAAGTAATGCAAGACACTTGACTAGGAAGTAGTACTGTCCACCAGTAATTACAGTGATACTCTCCACCACTAAGTGCAGTTATACTGTCTACCGCTAACTGAAAGTCAAGGTAGGTTAGACACTTGACTGGGAAGTGATACTCTCTGCAACGAAATGAAATGATACTGTCCACCATTAATAAAAAATCAAGGTATAGGAGACACTTGACTAGGAAGTGGTACTGTCTACAACTAACTGATGTCACACAGTCCTCCACTAACTGAAGTGATACTTGCTACCACTAACTGAAGTGATACTGTCTACCATTAACTGAAGTGATACTTTTTACAACTAACTCAAAATCAGGGAACATTGATTAGTTTTACTGAAAAATTACATGTTGTTTCTTTTCATCTTTGGATTTTCTTCAAAGTTAAAAAAAAATTGTCAATAAAGGAAAAAAGTATAGAATTGTTCATGCTGGTTGTATTGATTTCGAATCTTTGTTAAGCCAATATATAGAAAATGTTTTAAATATGTTTTTACACATACAGTTTTTTGTGAATCCGGGGTAACATCAAAGTAAAAAAGTTAGTTGATAACTAATGGCATGACCTTTACACTTGTTGTTTGTTACATTGTTATACATTGTATCTGTCAATATAAAAAGTGTCAACAAGTGACAACAAGCATCATAGTGTCATCAGAAAATATCTTTTTAAAATACTCAATTCAACTTGTCAGGGCTCACGCTGTCAGTAGCCAAAGTAGCCATTGACTACTTTTATTTTCAATTGGCTACTCAAAATACAAAGTGGCTACTTTTTGGCTACTGTGTTTTTTGTTTTTTTTTTTCTTTAATAAAGCCCACAAAAGTGCTCTGTGAAGTCGGTGTACTTCCATGTCCACGTGTGTATTGTAGGCCTACTGGCTGACACGCTTAGATAATCTGGGGGGGGGGGCCTGCGGCAGAGGCAGTGCTGTCACAGTTGAGCGCACCCGATCATGACTTTGTTAGACTAATTACTGGAAGTTTCAAACGAAAGTACATATTATAATTGGTGTTAAACTTGTTATGGCTGAGATAATTGGATAACCCAAGTTGCCTTAACTTAATCAACCTATATCTTTGTTCACAAGAGAATTATGGTCATCTTTATAAATTTTCTGATTACTTCATTGAATAAAGAAATATCCGGAAGACACTTTACTATAACACGTGCTATTTGTATAAAACATACACGTTTGCCAAGCTGTCAATTTCACTAGCCTGCCTACAGTAAAGTTGTCATGATGTCATTTTTGCATATATGAAACTTAGTACACTAATGTATTATTATCATATTTGCATATATTTTGATGTCACTAATTTTATGGTAAATATTTTCAGATTAATATAGATTGAGGATGCTGTTTGCAAGTGTGATACACAATACACATGTACTATAGATGATCAAGGAAAATCTGACACTCCCTAATTTTATCAGTTTCACAAGTATCAACATGAAACTTGACACAAAAGTGTATTAGGATCATATTTACAACATATTATTTGATGTCACTAACTTCATTACACATTTTAAAAACTATTTTCTGAAGTTGCTTTACAATGCTTATTGTCGCTTGTTGCTTTTTGATGCTTTTTAGGGAAACCACATTGTATTGATTAATTACAATATTTGCTTTTGTTTCAGAAATAAGAAATATGTGTTATGATGAAATTCTTGAAATTGTGGAATTTTGAATGTTTTATTTTTAGGAAATTTTTCACTGGGAAAAATCAGCAAAAAATAAATGTAAAAAATGAAATAACGGTTTTGTTCGTACTTACAGATAAATAATTATATACATGTTTTTCCACTTTAAGGCGAACTATAATTTGTAACATGACAAAAGAATAAGAAATTGACGATAATGGCGTAATATGTTATCATAAACTTAGTAATGTAGCAGTGTGATTAAGGAAATAAAGTAATTGACTTAAAATCTGGGTAGGTTTTTATAAGAGTTACCTCCCGTTACACACAAATTGTTTGTGTTTTAATCGCGGATGCACATACCAGTTTTGGTAGATCCTTAAACCTTAGAACTGACTACACAGACCCTCACACTAGACCAGAGACTTCCTACACAGACCCTCACACCAAACCAGAGACTTCCTACACAGACCCTCACACCAAACCAGAGACTTCCTAAACAGACCCTCACACCAAACCAGAGACTTCCTACACGGACCCTTACATCAGAACAGAGACTTCATACACAGACCCTTACACCAGACCAGAGACTTCCTACACAGACCCTCACACCATACCAGAGACTTCCTACACGGACCCTTACATCAGAATAGAGACTTCCTACACAGACCCTTACACCATACCAGAGACTTCCTACACAGACCCTTACACCAGACCAGAGACTTCCTACACAGACCCTTACACCAGACCAGAGACTTCCTACACAGACCATCACACCATACCACAGACTTCCTACACGGACCCTTACATCAGAACAGAGACTTCCTACACAGACCCTTACACCACACCAGAGACTTCCTACACAGACCCTTACACCAGACCAGAGACTTCCTACACAGACCCTCTCACCAGACCAGAGACTTCCTACACAGACCCTTACACCAGACCAGAGACTTCATACAAAGACCCTTACACCAGAACAGAGACTTCCTACACAGACCCTCACACCAGACCAGAGACTTCCTACACAGACCCTTACACCATACCAGAGACTTCCTACACAGACCCTCACACCAGAACAGAGACTTCCTACACAGACCCTCACACCAGACCAGAGACTTCCTACACAGACCCTTACACCATACCAGAGACTTCCTACACAGACCCTTACACCATACCAGAGACTTCCTACACAGACCCTTACACCATACCAGAGACTTCCTACACAGACCCTCACACCAGACCAGAGACTTCATACACAGACCCTCACACCAGACCAGAGACTTCCTACACAGACCCTTACACCATACCAGAGACTTCCTACACAGACCCTCACACCAGACCAGAGACTTCCTACACAGACCCTCACACCAGACCAGAGACTTCCTACACAGACCCTCACACCAGACCAGAGACTTCCTACACAGACCCTCACACCAGACCTGAGACATGACTACACAGACCCTCACACCAGACCTAAGACATGACTTCACAGACCCTCTCACCAGACCTCAGACATGACCACACAGACCCACACACCAGACTAGAGACATGACTACACAGATCCTCACACCAGACCTAAGACATGACTTCACAGACCCTCACACCAGACCTGAGTCATGACTATACAGATCCTATCACCAGACCTAAGACATGACTTCACAGACCCTCGCACCAGACCTAAGACATGACTTCACAGACCCTCACACCAGACCTGAGACATGACTAGACAGATCCTCACACCAGACCAGAAACATGACTACACAGACGTTCACACCAGACCAGAAACATGATTACACAGACCCTCACACCAGACCTAAGATATGACTTCACAGACCCTCACACCAGTCCAGAGACATGACTACACAGACCCTCACACCAGACCAAAGACATACAGCTATTTAAAAACTTGGACATTTTTTTTCAAATGGCGCCTTCCACTCGATAGGCAATTAAATATCATATTAATTTTTGATAAAACCAATATTTTATAAGACTTTTCAGTAACATTGATTGCCAGCGTTTTTTTTTCAGATAATATTTCTTTAAAACAGTAATTTTTCGTATGCTACTGAAGATGGAAACATTTTATGATGTTTTACGGGTACACGTTACCTGTAGCCAATGTCAAGGTCACAGACAGATTAAGTTATGTCTGGCCATATATCTGTTAAATGTTTGAGATATACTGATAAAACTAGTTTGTTTTCTGTGTGGCACTTTTATGATGTTCCTTAAGTCAAGGTTTTACGAAAGGTCAATGTCAGTTAAAAGTGCTGTTATATAATACATATACAGTGTCTTTTTCGAGTCTTCCACGTGTAACAGATATGCTATTTATAGAACTGACTTTATTTGTTGTATATGTCATACCTGTTACAGGTCAAAAGATTATTATTGAGTGTTGGATGGTTTTTAATCTTTGTCGACATGCTGCTTTGAAACAATGCAATCCGTTGTTGTTTACTTAATTTGTACAAGTACCACTGTGTTGGAATAAAAAGCAGTAGGATTCACAGAAAATTATTTAGCATCATTATAAAAAAAATAAACGAGACGCTGAGTTCTATTGTTACTGAAAAACACATTAAATTTTGAACACGATAAATAGTGTGGGAGCCTAGCCTCTCCTGTTTAGTTCCGACTTCTCCTATGAACATATCTGGTGTACAAAGCCTGTGACTACGCTTGTGCCTGCATTACTCCAGCTTGACACGCTGA